TTTGTGTGACTCTTTCAAAATATTTTTGGTGGTATCCAATTAGCTAATTACCTTCGCATGTCTGTGTGAGTGTTTTGAAATAAAACTTGGGGTGGATGTTATTCTAATCTTATACAAATCGAGTAAGAAATTGACAGCACGTAGGAAACTAACGTAGAATTTACAAATCTTTTGATGTGAAATAAATTAGGCACTCTCTGCTAAAGTGCTCAGACGGCTTAGCTTACTCCGGAGGTGTTTTCGATTCGATACACCGCCGAATTCAATACTCGATGCAGCCTGCACTATCTGTGCAAGACAGCTGTCATGGCGGACTGACATGCCAGGACGAGGCTCAAAGGCCCATCCTAGACAGAGATTACTCATGTCTGAAGCACACGGAATGTCTAATATGATTTCCCGAAATCAAAGGCACCTTTAGTTAAATAATGTCCAATAATTTACTTTAACTTATAATCGTGTTACGCGTAATAAATGTAAACAAAAATCTATGAACGTAATCAAAAATTATTAAAATTATATGATATTTTAATACTTTTTGAAATAAAATTTCTTCAAAGAATATCAAAGTAAATAGAAAATACTAATGCGTGTTGAAGTATATTGGCTTTTGACGAGAAAAGCTCATAATTCCATACTCAGACTTATACACATAACCTCTATAAGAAATCAATAAGGTGAAGTGTACAATAATGAGTTTTAAATAAGACAGAACAAAATGTTACAAATTCAGAAATTTTGATTGAAAATATAGGTACTACTTCCGTTAACTTAAACATGTACTTAAGCATTAATGGTTTTAGCCAACTTTTTTTTTATTAGACCATTTCTTGTCAAAAGAATCACGATATAACACAGATTTAGTAGGGGTTCGACAAACAAATAGTAAGAAAAAATAAATCAAACAGGTCAGTCAATGAGGAGTTCGTAGGTTTCTTGTCACTATAGTGAAATATGGAGAATAGGAAAACGAACACCCTGACAGCAAGGCAACAGCCTCGTATAACCTGCTTTGTAAGTGGAGGCTGCATATTTTGACCCATACAAAAAAAAACGGAAAAATAATAGCTTTTACTTTTAATAATTTAATAAATGATTAATTTAATTATACTGATCCTAACCCGCCCCGTAAAGTTCTTACAAATAGCGTAGATGCCTAATTTTTATTTTAATGTCCGTCTGGTAGATTATTTTAAATCATTAGACACGTATTTTTTATTTTCACGAATATTTTCGACGATATATTGATTAGAAGTGTCGCGTGACGTCACTTCTATGTAGGTACATTTTATACGTAGAAATGACGTTTTAGCCCCCACTCCTAAACTTTGATCCGTTTTATCTAAGAATTGTTTTATTATACGACAAAATAAAACAATACGTGTATAATAATTTTTCATCACCTAACTAGATTTTTACGGACTAGTTAGATTTTTAATTTTCATACCCTGTCATCATCCCAATTATGAATCAATGGTCTATCACCGTTACTTATAATTATTACGGAATTATTATTGTATTCATGTCTTTCATGATTCTTTTCTGAATTGTGACAATCACAACATAACATAACAAACACATGACCAATCATGTACCTGTACTGTGATGTTTCCTGATTTCCTTGCGGTGGCTTTTCGAACATTATAGCTACGAAATATGAGTTCATTTTTATTTATTTCTTGAATTTTTTTTTATTAAGGCGCTTTCGAGACTATTATGTTCGGGGTGGGAATCCGCGGGTTCGAGGTCAGAAGAGTCAAGCGTTTCATAGAAATTACATATTACATACCAATTATTATTTATTTACAAGTGCACTTCTTTTTATTTGGCGTGATTTGTAGAACTAAGAGTCTTTACAATTATCAATTAAAAATTAATTGTGTTCTTTATCGGTTTATTAAAACTTGCTTATTTTAAACAGCTTATTAGTAACAACATAATTATAATCATGTTCTTTAAAAATTTTGTCTATATTTTTTTTAATTTTTCTTTGAACGGTGTTTCAAAATATGCTTCGAACATTCAAGTTGGAAATACGATTACTTTAAAATCGATATTGTTAAAAAATATGTAGGTACTTATTTTATATATCGGCTTTATAGAAAACATTAAGATCAAAATCTCGTTAACACGAAATGTAAAATTTACTGGTAGTTACTCTATTATATTCTAAGCTTGTTAAAATAAAAAATCTGCTTTCCAAATATTGTTACATTTTTAACGAATGAAATATGAGTCTGCCGACCTGTCCGTATGCAATATCAAATATTTGCAATTTGTTTCCAACTAAATGAAACGCAAAGAGAGATTTATCTATGAACCTATTCCGTAAAAACGTTCGATAACATTCGAGTTTAATAAAAGTTAATCTTGAAGTCTCTGTAATCTGTAATTTGATTAACGAATGAAAGGTTCCTAACAATAATTTCTCGATTTACCTTTAGTATTAATATGTTATGCAGCTCAAGGCCGAGAATTCCAGATGATTTCGGCCTCGGCACTCGGTACTCGACCTTGTATCCAGTTTATGATAAATTAGATCAGCTCCACGCTACGCTTAGCTTCGCAGTACATATTAACTTGCGTCCATCACCAGCTTACAGCGCATTGTTCGCGCTCGGCCAACGTAAGGGACGCAGCGATGCCACACAATGCGTATGTGTGACTCCTGACAACCACTTTCATCTATCTGTATTCACACCATCACACCAATATTCTCCAGACCGAACAGGAAGGGCATTAATTAGTGAGTGGACGTGCAGCCATTATTCAGGAGCTGCGCCCTGGGGCCCTGGTTAAACCATCATACCACACTTACATAACTAAACAATATACCTATTGTTTCTCGATTGAACACCTATATTGATATGGACATACATTTATCTGGATTCATTCGTAACATAGTCGAGGCAAGCGCAGTCAAAATTCATGTCAGTAAAATAAAAAAAAATAGTATTGCATACGAAACGTACATCAATAGTGATACTAATTAGTGCTGCCCTGATATTGATGGCTGATTGCTTTGACGATGTACGTCTAATATATTACATGACACGCAGCCACATAATGTATGACAGCGTTGGCGTCGCATCGCTGCGACTACCCTGTGGTTTTCTTCCTCCTATACAAACAATTCGAGGTACACAATACCTATACAAACATAGGTACTTTGTTGGATGTAACAACCACATTCAATACTATACCACAGTCACCGATATAAGCAAAATTATTATGTGGTTAATTGAAAATACTGAATGTAGTTTACCTGTCTGAATTATTCGAATATTATTGAATTGTTTGGTTTATGCGGTAGTCACAGGCACTTTCATGTCTGTTTGACGCGGTTTATTTGACTGTGGTTACGTAAAGTTAAAACTCATTATTTAACATGATGCTGTTCTACCTAAATAAATAATAATAATACCCTAATAAATAAAATGTACAATTCTACACACAATGTACATTATGTACTGCAACTTTCTACTAGGTTTGTTAATGTATACCTTGTGATGCACCGCGTTTATTTGTTCCGAAAAGTTAATTTTAGTTCGTCGATTGAAATACTATACGTTGCACAAATGGACGGCCGCACCGTATTAATTAAAAAATAATATTCAGCACAAACCGCGGGTGAAAACAAACCTCAGCTCGAGGGCTCGTTAGTCTCGTTTTTAAAATAAAACAAAAAGTTTATTAAAGTCCCCTCCAATGTTTTTCTTCATGAGATCATAGGTTTTGTGCTGACTTCGGCCAGTTCATGTAACAATGCATCATTTCCTTTGTAGCCGAGCAGATGACATTACTTTGTGCACGCCGCGCCGGCGGCCGTGCACATCGCTAACATGAAATTGATTGCAAGACACTGCAAATTGGGCCGCAGCCCAAACATGGCCGCTGACTAGTAATTGGAAACTAGATAGGGAGATGACAGGGTTATATGCCACTGAAATGAATTAATATTTTCTTTCGCATGAACATGGAGGAATTAATTTCCTCTCGTTTATAAAAGTTTGCTACGAAATATTGAGTTGTATGGAGGCAGTGCAGTCCGCGACAGATATTTAATATCACAGAACGGAAATCGAAAAGAAACTTGTTCAATGTTAAAAGGTCGCTCAGGACGAAGTTTGTCAGGTGCACTCTCTATATTAGAGGCGCGCACACCAAAATCGAACCTGAGACTCAATGCAGTCTTCACTTACAGTGCAAGATTTATTAGAAAATTTCTGCTTCAACATTGAGTTGTAAGATTCCATAGACAAACACACATTCAACCGGTGGAAGTTAAATAAAGGCTTGTAAAGTGCAACGTGACATTGCAGAAACATTTTCTTATATTGTTCAACAAATTCATACAATCGCGCTGCTCAGTGAGATCGGAGAACAAATGTAATTTGATATAAACAGCCATACTATACATACCTCTCAGTTTTTACTTTGTCACAATAACCTGCAAATAGAAATAGCTAGTTCAAAGGAATTTATCAGCCTGAAGCTAAGTCAGTCACTTCTATGAATTTGTTTTCTCTTACATTTCATTACAAAATGAAATCGTAACTCCAAGAATTGAATCAATCTTCACCTAGGAGAATACAATCTTCAGTCATTTTTCGAAGGAAGTAGAATAAAAATTGAAGAAAAATGTCGTCATAATTTAAGTGGAGATTTATTCTTTATGTCAAATCTAAAAAAACCACAGCCAATCCGAAGGTTTTCATAATAAGATTTATTAGGAACAGTAAATAAACTTATTAACGTAGTAGTAACAATAAAAATCTTGATAAATACCACAAATAGAACGCATCTTGTATGCAAATGGAAAATATTACAATCGATCGTTTGTTTATTGATTGTGATCAGGTGTTCAATTTGTTACATTCCATTCATTGACCAGCAGCAGCGTTATCTCCCTCCCAAGGACCTTGCTGAGCAGTGAACTTGTTTAAGAAGATGACTATTAATAGCAATAGTTGTGTTAAATTATGTATGTTTGTCTACAGACCCATCTACGTACTCGGCAGACAGCGCGACTTCAGGCACCGTCACAAAGGCAGCTACCCCTTGCAAGGTGTGTGGTGATAAAGCTTCCGGCTATCACTACGGCGTTACATCATGTGAGGGATGTAAGGTAAGACGCACATATCCAGCGACGGATTAACCACGCAGCGAGAGTAGCCAACGCTACGGGCCCCACGACGCGCGCCACCACCGGACACCCGCCTCACCCCCCCGGACTCACCTCGGTTGCAAAGTAATTTGTTCGAGTGTAACTTTAAGATTTAGTGCTAAAAATATAAATGGCCCTGAGCATGCTTAATCCGCCACTGTACACAAATTAGCCAAAACTAGACAGAGGTGTGCTTCATATTCAACGAGAATTTTATATGAATGATTTCCTCGAGCTAGCTAAATGGTATTTTCTTGATTGTCGAATTGATATATTTATCTATAAAGTCTTACCGAGGACAAATCATTCTGAGTGTGGTTATTTAGAATCCACGCTGTACACCCATATTATCCAGTTATGTTATAAATCTTATTGGAACATTACCGATGAAGTCTATAGAAAGTATCAGTAAAGTAAGTAATAGTTACCCCAAACTTCATGCTCGGCGGTCACCTACGAGGCCTCCCTTGGTAAGATAGATAACTAACTAAGGTTAGACATTTTTGAAGGTAAGACATTACTCTTCATGTATCGAGTGAATTATCTGACACCGTGCCACTACGGCCGGCATGCTACCTGCGCCTGCGTGCCTTCCTTACAACTAAAGTAAGTCTGCAGTTTATTTATATTATTGTGATGTAACAGCACCAGTTGTTTTTCTTTGTTTACCGGCACTAGTAACTCATCCTGGGAGTACAACTAATACCGAGCTGTATTGGCATACATTATAATAATACGTATTTGTGTATCTAGTCCCTCTAAAAATATCAATTAATGTCGTAGAACGTCACCAGACAAACACACAAATGGGTACAGGTGACTAATCCGTGAATCGAAACATGGTTCTTGCTGACGGAGGCTCTTTCGTGAAGGTAGCTATATCGAGGCGGCCAGTTTAAATCCTATGTAATTCAAAGTCAATCTTGGCGCTGGGAGAGCTTACGGGCATTCTGTAACCACGACACAGAGCTGCGATGAATACACTTTGAATCCAGAACATCGGGTAATTATTATACCAACAAAAAAGCTTATAAAACTTGATTGCACTGTTGTCGCGGTGGCTGTGGACACCTGGCTGCGGCGCCACGTATCGCTGGTTCGATTCCCACACGGAACAACTCTCTGTGTAATCCACAGATTGTTGCTCCGGGTCTGGGTGCCATGTGTAGTGAACTTGTATGTTTGTAAACGCACCCACGGCACACGAGAAAATCATAGTGTCGGACAACCTTTATTTTATCTTCTCTCATATCTCTTTCTCGTAAACAATATCAGACAAACGAAGTGAATGCACTTACTATTTCTCAGAAATCTTCACTCCGATGGCGTCGAACTAATTCAATAGAATTTATTCACAAAGAAATCTCCTGTCAGTGGACACATTATGGCGACAATGGGACTATGGGACTGTTATTTTATTCTTTAATTAATTCAAACAATGGATTATGACGTAAACATTTTTACATTATAGGAAAGTGCGCGGGTGTATCGGTGTCTAATGTCATAGGTTCGAGTCTCTACTATACAAGACATACTGTGTACGTGTATGTTTATCTATGAAGACGTTACGTACGTAGCCATTTATGCTTTCGTACACGTTCAATGCAATATTTCGTCAGCGTATATTTTCAATGTTCTGTTAGATGATGGTATATATTGTACACAATCAGATCACCGTTATTCATTTAATTACTTCTTTTACCTTCTTATATTCCCGCGTCTTGTTTGAGATGAAGATACGAAAATCTATACATGCATAAATTGAAGGTAGGTAGGTACCTAACAGGAAATTTTATCGTTACAAAATAATAAAAAATAAACTAAATCTAGAACACAAACTGAATTAACTCGACGCGATAGATTAACTTATAGGAAGCTTAGTTCAATTTCCACGAGCCGCTGCTTACTGTACCCAGAGAAATTTAATAATGTCCCTGCCTGACCTCCACGGCACTCTTCACCTAGTTCCCTTCTAACGTAAACATGCTGGGAATTAATAATAACTTAAACTATGCAGTATAGAGTGCAGAATGCATTGCAACAGTTCATTAATTGTTCGGTTTAGAATAACACACGTGTTGGTGAAGCAACGTGTCGGGTGCCCGAACACACTCAGCGTAAAATAATTGCATACTTCCCCGTCTAATGCTGACATTGCAAATACAACTGAAATAGATATTTCATAAAGTTGAATTTTGCTAGATGTGCGGCGGTGGTGGTTTCTCGAGGAATATTGATAATACATTCGCAGTAGTCTGCAGAGAGTGACGTGGCCGAACATTACGCACAATGTACAGGATGTTGCCATAGGCCTTGTCACTTAAACATCTAGTTACGTTGTAGCTACACGTTTAATGATACACTCGCCTACCCCTTCAGAAGTCAATGGCGTGACGATGTTACTTTTATTTAACCACCGGCATAAAATATTGTCAACATTGTTTAAAAATTAGAACTTAACTATATCGGGGCGTATAAAAAGGGAAACCGGCGTCACTGCTACAAATATATTATGAATTATAACAGTAGTAACGAGCACATCGTACCACTCGATAATTATTGCGAGTATACTTTGTATATTTAATGCAATGTTGGGTTACCGTGCTATGCGCTGGTTGATGGGTACCGCATCGGTGTACGGACTTAATTATCTAATAGAATATGTAAGGGGAGGTAGACGCCTGAAAACTGAATTCTTAAAAACCTTACACCTTCATGGGGTACGATAATAGTCGTGTATAATGCCACTAAATTATAAACTGATTGTGTACTAATTGTCAACTGTTGTGGATAATTTTATTGTAGTTACTTAGAACTAACCTGGAGTCGGTGTTGTCTCATTGAGCAACCTGTGGAGTGAGATTTCATGTACGTGGAAGTAGTATCTGCAGTTCGATGTAATTAAAACTGAAGTGGTGCTTGAAGAGCTGACACACTCCAGCTCAAGAGGATGACCTGACCGGCCGGGCTCCGTTCGTTTCAGTAACTTTTTCAACGCAATATATTCCGTGGTCTAATTCCAGTGACACAAGTACCCTACAGCCTTCACATACACTTATTGCAATCTGCTATTATCATCTCGTTTACGTGTGGCAAGTACCTCCACTTGACCGACCAACTACTCTGACACAGTTGCCGGGAAAATTAAGGAACGATAACGAGTTATAACACCCATTTGGGGTCCCAACCCCAAATTGCTGTAACCTGGAGAATTGTAATACAGGTATTTTACGCCTAAAACAGACCCCAGCTCCTCGCATTGCCATAAAAACTAGACTATAAAAAATTATAAAAAACTATAATAAGTGTCATTGTGAAGAGAACTAAAGACATTTATTATTATTATTATCCAGTTTTCAAATTTTATCTATTTTTAATGCAACTTTTATAAATATCGGTTAAATCCCAGTTGGAAAAAACCATTAACAAGTCGAACAATGTGCTGATCAGTTGTAATAATATCCTCGGTAATGATTACGCGGATGGCAACTGCAGGGGTTTGCGAAAATTGAATTACTTTTTTGCATTAACCACGCTGTAAGCGAATCCATTGTCAGCTGACGTGCTACGTCCATAGGCATTAGCAAAGGCCACACATTAATATTACGTACAGTAAGCAGCCGCGCTATTCAGTTCCCGCGTGTGGCAATTGCAAGCACATAAACTATTTATGAAGTGTTTGTTACAAAATAACATCGGAAACTGTAGTGACTCCGAGCCAGTTCATGTGATTATCGTAAGGTAACTCAAACACAAATGCTGATCTATATATTATGGTAAATTATTCAGCGCCGTCGCCCTGCAGCCTAACAATAGGCCGACGCCCGACACAGATCCAATAAGATTACAAATGTGTCGTCGAGTGACGATATCACAATCAAATAACTTCCTAACTTTAAAAAGAAAACGGTACCTATAAAAGTTAAAAAAGATATTTTCAAACAATAGAGTAACTATGAACTTGTTGCTTGACTTTCAGAACAGTTTTCTGTCCGTATTTTGCCTGAGTTGGTACCTACCAACTTTGGTTAGTGAACAGGGTCGAGACAATACAAAAATACTTGGGGCCTGTATCGGAGTGCTGGGGGTTGGTCACGTGACCGCGGGATGTTTAGCCGCCGCGTGACCCCCACATTTAATGGGGATCACGTTCACGTGCAGTACCCACAAAGTGCCAGTAGACACCTACCACTCTCACTGTCATTTATTCATATTTCAAATGTTCCTGACATTATTATTTACTGGTTAAAAGAGACGTTTGTGTTAACTAAGTAGGTAAAAAGAAATGTTCCGATAAATAATGTAAGAACACCCCGCATTCGAAGACATTGCGTTCTTGTAATTTCCACGTAAGTCGTCAAATTGAATTGTTTCCAAGAAATAACAAATTAGATGAACGTCCAGCCAGTGGACGGAGCCACGAGCTGCGGTAGTACGGTACGGTACCCAAGCTCTGGTTATCTGTAGGAGGCAGTCTGTACCTCCTTTGTCGTTTGTAAAAAAAAAAAGTTTGTGTCCCGTGTCGCAGAAATGTTGTCTCGTTGCTGTTTACGGGATCTCATTCAACCTTCCCGAAATTAGCAACGTCGAGATTCGTTTCAAAAGTTATTCAATGCAACTGGCTACAACTTTCCTAATTAACTGCATGCTTTTCGGTAGATACAGCATGACAGTATGTGTTTACGTTCATAACAATAATAATTAAATATTAGAAAAAAATAACAGCCTTTATACAATGTAGCTAATATGATATCGATTCAATTTTAAATATGTATCAATCTTCAAACACGCTTTATTTGACATAGTTATAGTAGAGGTTTGGTACATTTGCATAATGTTAACATTTGACGGTATTACTAAAAACACAAGAACTAAAAATAACTACCCACTATAAACCATAAGTACAAAGAAAAATGTCTATGGGTATTAATTAAATAATCGATTATGTACTTAATCTCATTGAAAATTAATTAATATTTGGTTTGATAAATTACCAAATAACAAATAATCAACGATTTACATATCATAAATAAAGAACAATGTATTCTGAATAAAAATTACGTTTAGTCAGGGCTGTCAAAGTGGGTAAACAGAGCATGCAGTTATAATTGAGTTCGCTAGGGAACCCTAGCATATAAGTTACCGCCCTGCGCCTCGTCGATGTTGTGCGAACTGAGCTCTGTGCCATAAAGCCTTCGGCATAGCTACCTAATGGACAGCTCCTCCGTCTCCAGTGCTCATATTGCGATCAGATCTCGGTGTTGAGTGTTAGTTAGGTACATAATAAATATTCTTTTTTAATTTTATTTTATATTCAGTCAGTGATGTGAAACTTAATAAAACTTCAATTGTAATTTTTTTTAAGAATTTGTTTTAATTTCGTAAACTTTTTAAGGGGTTATTTTATTTTTTGTGTCCTTATTTTTTTATAAATGTGTAATATTTTTTGTGGAGGTAATATATTATACTGATTTGTCGTTGTCCGGTCACAGGGGTTCTTTCGACGGAGTATTCAGAAACAAATTGAGTATCGCTGCCTTCGTGACGGGAAGTGTCTGGTCATCCGGCTGAATAGGAATCGGTGCCAGTTCTGCAGATTTAAGAAGTGTCTGGCGGTTGGCATGAGCAAAGACTGTAAGTACCTACATTTTGTTGACCAAAGTAAAAGAATAAGTTCTCAATTCATTGAAATATTTTATATTAACAAAGATTGTAAAATTACCCTCACGCCACGTTATTAAGTACGTATGAGCTCTTTTCTAGATAATTTTTGTTTTACTTTTTACCTAATTTCTTTAGCCGCTCGAATTGAAATGTCTATTTTATGTTCACTGTGATTTAATCCGATAAGTTAAATAATTACACTGATCTCGGGAAGTCGGTTAAAAAATGTACAGGTTTCAGTCTTGTGGGTTATAAACATTAATTACAATTGTTTTTTAATAACCCAGTGCATCTGCCGAGGCGGTTTCATGATCGATATCCGGATCCGACAAAATATTATTAGAATTCCCAATTTTTTTTAAAATGTGGGTAATTAAATTATGACGGTTTCTGGAAATATTGTGCCGACAACCTAGATGTCGCTTACTTCAGCTCATTAAAACCGTGATTTTGCCCTAGTTTTCGTGTTTAAACTGTATTCATAATAAATGTTTAGGAAGTTACATAGCATCATTTCATTCTCGATAGCAGTTGAGAGGCGTGCATGCAGCTATTACATGTACGTGTATCACGTACGTATATATAACGTAAAAATATCGCGTAATAGGTAATAATATCGTTCCTATAAAATGCCTTCATCGCGCTACGAAATCTACTTAGAATTATAGATAACCCAACTTCGATTCTCGCCTCTCGGCGCAAGAATCGAAGCCGATACTCCTTGCTAGTTACCGCTACGGCTACACGACCAGTGAGGGTAGGTTCAACTTGACGTAGTTGCCGTCTCGGGAATATAATGTCTACCTTTGCAGTCGTCGTTTCTTATCGATCTACCGCCGTTTCAGTCATCAATATTAAAAGCAGATAATTTAATAAGACCCATGCACCCGTGGGTAGCACGGGGTTCATTTATTGATACACAATTGCAAGATCCGTCCTTGCACTAAGCATTTCAATAATATAATTAATCATTAAGCTGAATAGTAATTAATCGCCTCGTTGGCCGAGTGGTCGCAAGTGCGACTGCCGGGTAAGGGGTCTCGGGTTCGATTCCCGGGTCGGGCAAAGTATTACTGAGTTTTTTAAAATCTCAGTAGTAGCATGGAGTCTGGAAATGTGCCCGGTATATGGTAATAGGCTCACCCTCTATTAAATACGACTCATAATATAAATGGTGAAATGTGGGTGTTACTTTGTACAGTGGCATTAAGTGCCGAAATGTGCCCCTCTGCCTACCCCATCGGGGATAAAAAGGCGTGATGTTATGTAATTAATCGGCAACTGGGGCATCGATCCCTTTACTCGGATTACTCGGTAGTGGGTAGTACTGAAACGGAGTCTTTTGCAGTGATAACTTCCCTGCAAAAGCCCACGACTAGTTCACTCTATATAATATCGTAGTATATGATCCCTTCATTAAAACGAAGTTCAGTATCTAAGCCGCGGTGACTATGGCACACAACCTAGATTCCCAGGTCAATCTGTGCAGAAGAGTCGCAATTAATATCCAACAGGAAATTACAATCGACGCGACGCAGAAACGCAGCGGTGTCAATGTACAAATAGTCGCAGTCGCACCTATTTTCCAATTGTCGAATCGAGCCCATTCGAGTGCATAGCGGCGTGCGAGGTGCACCGCTGCACATACGACACGCGAGCGGCGCGGACGCGGAGACTACGTGGTTATAATGTGGCCCTTCTCCCCAGCCGTACGATACGGAAGAGTACCGAAGAGACCCCGAGAGCCCTCCGCAGCAGACAGCCTGCCCGAACCTTCAAAGCGACCGGTCCATACCAACGCAACCACGATCCCCCCAACGGATCCTTTGGAAGCAGAGCTATTAAGGCAAGAAATGACGAAGGAATTAGTAAAACTCATCACCACAGCCCACCGCGGCACCAACACCTACACCGAGGAATTAAGGATCTCCTTGGAGCCCCGCGCCGCCCCCTTCCGCGTCGAGGAGTCTGAAGCTGAAGGTTTGTATGCGTCCATTCTGTCCTAACGCTATAATGTAATACTACGTATGTTGTCACAGATGCAGCGCTACACGACGAGAAATCAAAACATAATAATTAATTTAGTATTCCTCACGAAAGTTATAATGTATATAATGAGAATGAAATACTCGTAATCCTGGTTGAATTTTAAAACCCCCGAGAAACTGAAGAAATATCTTGTAGCAAATTATATTCGGCCACTGTTTTGAATATAAAATCAATTGCAACGGCAAATGTAAAGTGCGGCAGTTTTAAAACTGCTTCGGAAACTTTTTACATAAGTAGGTCATTGAGCGGCCTGAGTTTCAAATTCAAGCAACACATTCATATCAAATGATGAAGGTTAGGCGCGACAACCACTACCGTACTTACATGGACACGTGTTCAAAAAATTACCTGCATTGATAGGCAATGTTACCCGGTACAAGTATCGAATCCCAAGCAAAATACTGCTCATAACTTAAGCACATAATGATTTTTCTCTATTTACTTATTCATCTCCTTACAATCGAGTTCCTCTGAAGCAATTTTAAATTTTAGACATAAATAATAAGATAATAAGTATGTAGCATTTTAAAACATAATAACAAATATTTATCCCTTTTTGATTTGATAACTCATTTCACTTTACTTGCGTACGTAAGTTCAAACATTTTTTCGAGTACCGACTTTTGAATATAGCCAACTTAACTATTCATAAAATATCTTTGGCTTTATAATTTTATTTCGTGGCAGTATCTCGGTATATTCTTTATATTTCGTAAAATACATTGATTGAAACAACAGTCATAATATCTGAAAATAAATATGGTTACTATATTTCTAAAAAATATTCAATTAGGTAAGTTAATTTACTTAGAAGCAGGTACTCAAAGTGAAAATGGAATCCATTTTGAAATTTTGTTTGACTATTTACAACAGCATTCTTATTCACTCACATACTTAAAATGTACCTACCATCTACTTCGATATTGTCACGGAGTTTTGCGCACGCGTCCCTTACAGGTCGCCCCAGTAATACCGCATTATGGACTCAAACAGCAAACTATGTAAATGTTAATAGTTAATAGTTACGTAGTTGAAGTGGGCCGGTCTGACATCGACTGTCAACACAACACAATACTTGTTGCACGAGCTCGACCAAACATGGTGAATTAGTAATACACTGACTGCTGTACCCTGGAGCAATGGAGCACTCCATACAATATGCAGGCCACCCTTCAATACCCCAGTTCCGTCTATAAAAATAACAGCACTATCATTATTCTAATAGCAAACTTCTCAGAAAAATGTTTGAGTGTAACTTTTCTACTTACTACTTAGAACGTTAGAACTACCTACGTGATGGATTTGTTTTTTACTCGACCGACATATTTATTATGTACCTATAATGGCACTCTAGAGAGACTAAACCCGGTTTTGATTTTATTGATTCTTTCGGCTATATATTGATTTATTTTAATCTTCCCAGTAATAATTACAAATGCCGTAATATTGCGAAATTAGGTATTATTGATCAATGTCGAGTAAAGTACCATTGAATAAAGGTTTGAAAATATCGAATGTACTTAAGTAGTGGGTCTGGTAATATATAACTATCGACACAAGTTACAAATGATCGGTCAATGACCCGTCTAATGTTTGTTTGCGAAACATTATCAACCTTTAATTTCAGTTCATTCTTAGCGCAGTTCTATTAGCCAAATATTTGATAAACAAATTACAGGCATCTTTGAATTGAACTTTTTAAGTTCGCATACTTTTTTGATACTTACTTAGTTCAACCTACCACCCGCAAGTCACTCAATAATCGTCGTGATATTATATGTATACGCCAATTAAATGTTTACGCACATTCTCTTTACTGGAGTAGGTACTTTAAAGAATTCTATGCTACCCACATAATGTGTCGAAGCTAATACACCATCGTGAAATGGCAGACAGTCTGGGTTTTGTCTATCGATAAAAGCATTATAATAGATAAGAGGACAATGACACTGTATCTTATATTAATAATGGAGGTATGATCGGAGCTGTGAAGTCGTGGGTGTATGTCGCGCCGCGCGGCGTCACCCGCCGCCCCCGTGAGCGCCGTGTAGCCTTCCATTAACGTTGCACACTCAACGAGTGCATCTCTCCTATTTACACCATCATGCATTTTAATTTAGCTCTCAACAGCTTAACTAATACGCGTTTATTCGTCACCTCTCGTTTATTCAGTAGGGATTTTAAATAACTAATTTTCCGCAGTAGATTTTTTTTAAATCACGGACTTCACTGTCTTTAAGACCTTATTAAACCATCAGTACAACTTTACTGAAAGCAATAAAATCTTAAACGAATGGAAATACGTACTAAGTGTATATTGTGGCGGTCAACGAGTCTCGTGGAGCGTGGAGCCCTCATTCGGAAAATATAAGCACTTGACACAACCTACTACAGAGTGCCAGGGGAAATAGGTACTTCGTACAAAGCAATACTAGTTGACGTTTGTATGTATGACCGCGCTAGTCACTCCAAATTTCTCGCTTTTCATAATTATTCCGTTCATAATGTTTTAGTCGCATTCAGCCCCTTAAGTCACGTTACAATAAAATTGTACAAAACTAAACATTTCGGTTGCCTAGTTATTACCAAATACATGAGCAGTAAGCAATTCATTCATTCATAATATTAATTGTTGAGTAAAGTAAACGTGGTCATTTTACTAGACGGATCGAGTTTCACTGGTAGTAGGAAGTACGTTGTTATTTATTGGAAACTGCTTATACGATTATAAAACAAAAGTACTTGATGACGGGGTAAAATAATTTAGTTTACGGCGAGAGATATTACTACCTAATTAATATTTCTTGGCCATGTAGATAGTGTCACGTTGTTCTTGCGCCTCCGTTTGTATGGAGGAACTAACTTCAAGTTACCGTAGAAGTAAGTTAGAAAGAAACTTTAAATAATAGATTGATTGTAAACAATATAAAATTTCCGAAAACTAAACATAATTTTGGACAAATTAATACTATACCACAGAAATAAATATTCAGACGAGAAAAATGAAAGGAACATGTATTATTGATCCACAGATCACTGCACACAGTGTGTAGCTACAATTAAGTTGTACTAAATAATAGCCTAAATATCGTTCCTCTCGCGTCACGACGCCAACACGTCACGTCTCCGTCAAAATTTATCCGAATCAGTCGAATGCGAGTACGCGTCACTAGTCATAGTTATCACTTCGATATTAACAATACCAATGCACCATCACTGCACTTTAATATTGTTTATTAAAATTAAACCTTTTTCTAATGATTGTGTTGATACCTGTTCGAGTAAATGGGAAATTCTATTATAACTATTTAGATAATATGTACCTACTTCATCAAATAACAAATCAAGTTCTGAAATTCTTCGAATGTTTTACTAGGCACTCAAGTACGTAACGGGTTTCATACATTATGGAAAATGTGCATTCTTTTAATTTTAAGTTTTAAACCTCTGAATTGTCAAGATCTAACTATCTATCTATCTGACTAAATTTGAAATGTTTTTAAGTAGGTATCTACGTAATGTATACAGTCAGTTTCAGATATTCAGATCAGATATAATTAATTTAATTATATGTCGAAACTAGGTTGAATAGTATGGAATTAATGATGCGCGATCCTCTTAAAGTAAATCTTTACAAACAGAGATATAAGTAGTACCTACATCATTATATACCATTGTACTTATATATGTGTGTTTTGGAGTCACGTTGTTGGAGCATGTTAGTATAGCAGTGTATTGGTACGACACAGCCAGCGGCGGCGAGGACGCGGCCTCCTCCAGCACGGACCGCGCCACCGACGCGCGCTCCGTACTCTGGCACAACCTCGCTCTCCGCATGACGCCGGCTGTACAGCAAGTTGTCGAGTTCGCAAAGCGGTTGCCCGGGTTCCATGGACTACCACAAGATGATCAGCTTATTATTATTAAGGTAAACAGAATCAGCACAGCGAACTTACTCATGCCTGTTTTGTTATTAATACGGAGACTTCCTCGAGTTTCCGAAGACTTAGTTATCTCATCACGGAGCTATAGAAAATTCAGGAATAAGATTTAGAGTTACATAGCTGCCTGTAAACTAGCCGCTCCGTCCGAATTTAACGTTACATGAAACATGTTGTCGACTGCGCTCGATAACTTGATTGCAGTGATAACTTTGTCAAATTTTTATTCGTAAAAAAAAACTGAAGTATTTCCAAGAAAAGTTTATAGGAGTAGTATCCTTACAAATACTTTATACATATTTATTATTAGCAGATACCGGCCCTGTACATCGCTAGCCAATTATGTTTGCGATTTTCTGTTATAACCTTGCGAGTTCTCGCTTTGCGACTATGCCATCATTCACCATCATCAACGCTGTGCATGACTAGTGTAATTTGGTACCTGTCAGTGTGTATTTACGTCCGCAGCTAGGGTTTTTCGAAGTGTGGCTGACCCGCATCACCGCACTGTCGACTCCAGACCGCATCATGTTCGAAGACGGCACCGTGTTCACCCACGCCCATCTGGCAACCATATACGACGTGAGTATACAACGACGCCACTGTCACCTACTGACTGACTGACTGCTACTACTACTACTACTACCAGTTTCTCAGTATTTTGTCAACCTTACACCATGGCACGAAATCCTACTGCTGTTTCTTTTCTTTTTGAAATTAAAAAGGTATATAAATTAAATCGTCTCCAAGTCAGAGGTTTTCAATAATTATTATGCCAGTGCGAAGCAAGCAATTATTTTCCATGTACGAGATTAACTGCAAGGTCACATACAACTGATATACAGATAAAGAAAAAATTATATGACAGAGTAATGACATGATCAAGTTCGAGTTTCATATGAAATGCATTACAAGGGAATCGCAATTATTCTGTTAGTCAACTCGCATTGTTCGCTGGGTGTCCCGGTAACATCAACACGTACTTATGAATATGAACTAGATAGATGTAGTTGTAGGTACTAGGTAGCAAGGTTGTTGTGCGATTAGTGTAAAATATAAATTAAACATGTTTTATGGCAACTTTAGTCGAAACATACAATATACAGGAGGGGTTTAGTGCATCGTGTGTTAAATTGAAATGGTCTACAGACGGAGTCATTTGCTAGCCCTTCCAGTCCCTTAAGACCTTTCATGTCTTGTAATTTTTTTATCGACGTTTTATTGTTTTATTAATAAATCTACCTAATTTTACATTCAAATGCAAATTAGAAAAAAATTATAATGCGTAGGCTCCTTATTTTAATTTTATTTTGATGGGTATTGTTCAAGTGAACTTTTAAACACAAAATTAGTGACATTAAACATCTAGTTTTGTTTATTGACTCGCAACGGTTAAACCAATAGCAGTACATGTTACAGTTACAGTTTACAGCAGTTGGTCATAGGCCAAGAGTCCCCACAAGCTTCTTGTTCCTGCAACGGCGCCATTTTTAAATGAAGAATATGCAGATATCATGATGGCTTACGGTGCTGCCAATGGTGTCACTCGTACAACGCAACGCCTTGACCAGGAACGCTTTCCTGGTAGATCATTACCTGGCACCTACCTTCGAAGGCATACACCGACGCATAATAATATGCGAAACTAGCATCATGATGAGACATGACACTTCATGAACCAATTATTGAATCAAAATTTTGAATATTAGGTGACTTGATTCACTATTCTAGCGGTTGAAAATCAAAACAACCAACTGTTCAAAGTCAAAATGAAAATCATTTATTTCAATTAGATCAGAAAGGTACTTTTGAACGTCAACAACAAAAATTTAGAAGTGAATCTAGTTGCTCATTCCAAGGTGTAGATTCCTACGGAGAACAACGAGCAAGAAACTTCATAGGTTACTCTTTTTCAATCGGGTTTACAATACAATTCTCTAGTTACATAGTTTGGTTGGTTTGATAGTGTGAGAACAATGCAACACTTAAATGCAGTCAAAGAGATTGAATAAGAAAATAACCTTGAGGACAATAAAATCATACAGTCTGGAGCTAACCAGCTCCAATTGACGGCGCCCGTTTACGAACAAGACACCAAGTTCACCAACAAGTTCATCTCGCCTACTTAAATGATATCCCTTTCCTTAGGGAACTTTACTCTCTTTTCCCTAAAACCTCAACTCTATGCAAGAAAGAGATAGAAGCTAAATTTTACTGCGCAAGAGTGGGAAAACAAATTTTACCGCTTTCTCAAGTAACAGTTATTCAATAAAATGTTTTCATTACAATTAGCTATGTGGTGTTTTTGACTTGATTTACTATTCTATCTAATTAGCAAAGTTGTCAAAATATTTATATGGCATCATTGACAGGAGGATTGACTGTGGGAATTAATGAAGAAGTTGGAAAATCCCGCGCGCTTTGGTTCTCTTTTTGTAGCTATAGGAACAGCTGTAACATGTAACAGCTTTAATTTAAGTTTAACTTTGCGGGTCAATAAAAAAAAACTAAGTGACAGATATCACTAGTTTCATATTTAAAAAATTTGGGTGATTTTTAGTGAAATAATAAAACTTCGATTAAAAGAATCTATAGGGCATGAGGGGTGAAAGAGGGGCCTGACGGGCAAGCAGAGGACTCCTTCAGTCGACCATTTCAATTTAGCTCACGATGCATTTAAAATATGCGCAATACACTTGGTAAAAGTACGTAGTACATGCAACTGCTACGAGCGTAGACATGGTCTACGGCGCGCTACGGGCGTGCTACGCAGCGTCCGCGCCCTGCGCCACGCATGTCTCCGTACATGACGTAGCACTCGGCTTCAGTACATCCCGTACTGAAATAAATATTTTTAATTTGTTTTTTCTATTCGATACATGCAATGCACTACATACATATATATTTATTTCTAAGTTATAAATATGTTGGTTTTAAAAATAAGTTTATACAGCATGTGTTTATTTATTACAAAGTTGACTGTCCGAATAGATACAGTGTAAGATGATATATTTTTACATATATAGACATTAGAGCTACACAAATAGATGTGAAGGCGAACCTGCATAATAGACAATAAATTATGTAAAATTCATCATGTTTCAGGCGGCATTTGCAACGGCTATGCTGACTTATATCTGGAACCTTCAGCGAATGAATATGACCGAAGAGGAGTTGGCAGTGTACACGGGCACTCTGCTCCTCTGCCCACAACGCCCCGGACTCAGCGCCGGAGACCGAATTCAAGGGCTACAAAACGCCATGAATGATGCGCTCCAGAACATGGTAAGTCATTCCGTTCACAGTCGATGTACTTTGTATACATTATAAGTATATCGTTCCACTAATATACATTGAATTTCCAGCAGGCTGTGTCGCACGGCGGGCCGGAGGCAGTGGCAATATCCCGCGCGCGCTACGAAGCCTTCGCAGCGGCCAGGAACGAGGTGCGGCTGCTGGGCACCCGTCACCACGTGCTGCTGGCCTGGCCACGCGAGCACTGGCAGCGCCTGCTGCTGCCACCCCTATTTTCGGAGATATTCGATATTCCAAAGCAGGATGAAGATGCTGGGGATTCTGCTACATCCGCGTCGCCGGGACCTGTCCCCAGGTCCCCCCAGTCCCCGCACTCGTCACATCCCCCAGTCCCGCAACTAGGATAAATTTAAAAAATCAAAGAGAACGCCAATACTAATAAAGGCATGACTGATATCATTATTATTGGTATTATCATTAAAGGTTTAGAATAACTAGCGTCAGTTTCGCAGAAACTCTAGGGATAGCTAGGGATTATTGAAATATTGTATTACTAGCTTCTGCCAGCGGCTTCGCCCGCGTTCCTGTATAAAAAGTGGCCTATATGTTGTTCCGGACCATAATCTGCCCCGTGTTACAAATTTCATCTCGACTCTTTCAGCTGTTTCGACGTGAAAGAGTAACAATACATCCTTACAAACTTTCACAATTATAATATTGGTAGGATTCCTAAGAACTAATATGACCACTGAAAGTATTAAAATATTTCTATCACAAGTTTTATAAACAAAGATTGTATTATTCTGGCAGCTCTTCCAAAAAGCTGTCATACGTCGCGTCGTAATGTATGTGTACAAGATCTCGATGACATGACAATGTGAACTGAGAGTGAGGTGGTTGGGTGTACGGGCCGTAGATAAGTTAGTCAAACGCACGACTTAGGAGCTATTGTATCGACCCCATCTAGGAATCACCGTACATATCGTTTACGCAACATATATGTTATGATTTTACTTTTATCGTTATTTATTTAAAATGTTCCTTGTGTTTACATTATGTTCTGTTTAATCAAGTAAGGGTTAACTTAGGTACGTTACTTGTAATTCTTTGATTCGTCGTCTGCATATGCTGGTTTGTTGCTCGTATTGTATCTACAGTAACATAAGTTGTACGTAGCATAATTATTTAAGTTTTTATTAAGTATTTCATAATTAATAAACCTATTGCATCTTGAGTTAATTGCTAAAATTTTAATTATTTTATTTGAACCGACTTCTCGTTAAAGGAGAAGGTATTGCCACCCGATATGTTCAATTCTATTATGTTTTAGTTAAAATGACGAAGTCATAATATAAATTATTATAAGGTCTGAATTTCGAATAGTTATTCTTGTCTAGATGACTCTGATAGGTTAAGAACTGAATTTCGTACATGAAAGTATTTAAGTAGTAGTCTAATGTAAGTAATTATATGCAGTGGGAGAAGGTAGGACAAAGCTTGGCGAACTTACCTGTATACCTTTTTTTTCAGTCGTACGTATTTGGTTTCATTGGCAGTAGGTAAGGTACAGACGTCTATTATCCTCTCGATTGTCGGTATATGAGACACAATATAAAATACGTTGTGGCTCACGTAGATCTATGTTCCGGCGTCATACCACGAGTTGAGGCCCACCTTATTCAAAAACCTCATAAAATCTTGCAGATGATTCTCGTAAAGAAAAACATATTGGAATTTGAAATAAGATATCCAAAAGGTAGTGCAGTTTTTGGCATTAAGTATACACACTTCTTACAAACTTGGTACATACTGGGCTATCTTAGGAAACCATATTATTGTATTATAACGAACTTTACTATGGGCTGTGTTAGGAAATAACACCCGGCTTGAATATAAATCTCGAAAAATACAAAACAAGAAATTAAACTCATGCGCAATACGATATTAAAATCGATGAATTGAGAATTTTTAATGTTTTAGAACAAAGATTGGTTTTAACTTGGAGCCGGGTCATCTCTGGCGATCTTACCTAATTGCTTTCCATGATTCTAAGTACTTACCCGATTTCCCAAAAATTTCGGCTGGTATCATTTTTTATATATAAACTTAAAGTATAATTCGCAAATAGTTATTTACAGAGCGAGTTAAGTCCATGTGTTCCGTAATGCAGTAATGCGATTCGAATACAAGTGTGTGCTAAATAAACACGCGTGTGATAATATTTAGGTAACAGGCAGGTATAACAATGTATTAATAATAAGTATAAATAGTATTTCCAATATTACGTTATATGATAACACTGCATAATTATACCTAGTATATGTACAGGTACCTAAGTCAATGGAATCAGTTGAATTAGGAATAGGTATCCAATTTAAGATAATATTATGTTGTCTGGCTTACTTGCGTATCTGTTTGACGAGAAACTCGACTAGTTTCAAGCCATTTCAGAGGCTCATATTCATGAGCAGCATTCCGCGACACACGATGCGGCGACTGTCGCACAGCTATGCGACGAGACAACAGTTATGTGACTAAGCCGGAAAACTTAATAATTAAGTATGTCTCACGAAAGTTATAAAACAAATCAAGTTAATATAGGAACGTGAAATAGGTACTTTATATTTTTACATATAAGTCATTGCTTGTAACTTTGTTTATTTTTATTATTATGATTAAGATAAGTTAGTCTTATTGATAAATTACGTTTCCTTGTTATATACTTAAGAGTTCAGCTATCCAATCATAAGTTTTCGCTTTGGTCTAAGTAGAAATTTAAAAGTATAACGAATTTTAAACTGAAAATATTAGCATCCTCAAGATTTTAAAATAGGTCTATAGGTATGATATGGTACGGTAAAATGTTTATAACTTTTAATATACTGTTTAGCTCCCATCTTTGTTTTGATACTACTTTTATACGTACCTTTTGTGTTAATCTAAATTAAGACGTTTACTCTTTATTTTAGTGCGCACAATAATTAAGCTCTTGGAACCAAAAACTGCATAGTGCACTGGAACTCTTTAGACACAAACTTTGTAACGGCATTGCGTTTGCATTTACTCAGCATTTGCTCCTTTTAGGTTTTATAAAATAATCAGTAATCATTATATGCATACCTAGTTTACTTTTAGATATATATAGGGGTTATAAGTACTTATTGTGTTTCCATGTTGTTCGAAGCGCAACATTTATGTTTATCTACATTTTATTTGGAACAAGTTCTTTTTGTTGTTTAATTTAATATTAAGTATAGAGAGAATGAGTTTAATAACTTTTAATTACACTTGATTTATAAGACAACAAAGATAATGCATGATATTGTACATCATTTGAAACGATAAACGTTGTCTGAATTCAATTAAGTGCAAATGAAAGTGGAGTTATTTAATAGCTTATATTTAATATTATGTGCATGAGTTTAAGACAATCTGCAGATAATCGATCTCATGAAATCTGTATTTGTGTATAGAGACGGGCTTGCTACCGACCATGTGCTGGGTTTGAGATGCCCAAGTATCTTGTTGTTGTGGCTTTTTAAATACTTATTTAAAACTCGTTATAAAGCGCATGGTCTCACCCTACATTCTAATAAGTGGGAGGTACTGAAAACTATGTTATTTTTTGTATATAATATAGTCGCCGTTATGATAAACTAACGAAACTGCCTAAGGTATAAAATTTTCAAAAATCTGTCTCTAACCGTTATGGGAATCTCATAACACGAATATGCATTATTTTGTTGCTACGTTCCAACTGAACTAACGAGGTTGATATTGCAACAATGCAACAAATAGAAACGTAAGCAAAACTACCTAGTAGGTAGTATGAAATAAAAATACTTTAGGAACTAAATCTTTTTGGTAAAACTTACATGTTAATACAATCGAAATAAGAGGAGAAGAAGAAGCAGTACCTACTTGAAGATTGCAATTTCTAATTTCTTTAATGTTAAGTCCTAAACATATTTGTTATGAAAACTTAGGTAGGTGTATCTTGTATCGGTAAGTAATATTCTGTTATGGGCTCGTGGCACCGACTTCCTAACTTTTAGTGGACACTGTGGGTTTTTTGTTAATGGTTTTTTTAAAAGTAGGTTTATTTTACTTCTTACTTTTTAGTTTGATAGGTACTTCGGAATAATGATGCAAATGTAGCTACGCAAATAAATGAAATTGGGCAACATTCATTTTTCTGCCTATAACCTAAACGTTAATGAGATTTACCTTCTATAATCAAGTCCACCTAATAGCCTCAAAGAACCTTTTTCTCTATCCATATGAATAGAATAATTTTGAAAGAATTTTCTTCAAACTCCTAACCGTTGAGGAGTTTTACCTTCCATCATCAGCTCATTGACATGAAATGATGATCATCAGACGAAAATGGTTGATTACCTTTACGAAAATATCAGAATAAATATATAGCTTATAATTTGAGGGTTGCCATCGATTTCCATGGCTCTCATCATCAGAGGCTGACCGCAAACGGATCAGAAAAAAAAATACCAGCCGAATTGAGAATGCCCTCATTTTTGAGAAGTCGCTTAAAAAGCAGAATAAGTAATTATTTTTTTTCTTAAATAAATACATTTATTTGAATACGTATTTTATTAATTTATAGGTCAATGAAAATTACATACAAAACTACAGAAAACAAAATTAGCAAGGGAACGTTTCGAAATATTAAATTGATAGTTAATAACTTTTTTAACTAACAAAAGTGGCCCTTTTGTTAGTTTACCAAATAATTTGTTCAATAGGAAACTACCACTTTCGCAAGTTGGCGTACCTACAGCGTAATATTCGTACTTATCTTTCAACTGTTACGTATGAAGATGCAAAGTAACGAAAGTGCATTTATTTATTGTTCTTGTAATATAAGGAAAATAAATTCATGTGCCGCAGTTTATATTACAAGTGTCTTGAAAGAAGTTATTAATCATTTAATATGTCGAAACGGTCCCCTGTAAAGATTTTTGCAATTTCGTAAGTTTACTATAAAGGTGACGATATGTTATTGATTAAGTTTCTTGGCTGTTAATGTTTTTAAATATTAGCTTTATTTACAACCTTCGTACATATCGGCACGTAACTTGGCAAGAACTGATAAGGTACAGCGAGCATCATATAGTGGCCCTTGGGGTACTTAACCCTTTAACCGCCAAGATTCTGAACTTTCAACTTACCTCCAGCGCCACGTCACTTTAGGTATAAGTTGGAACAGTGTTGGGAACACTTAATATCGATGCATATATTCTTTATTAATTAAAATCAATGTTTTATTTACCTACTTAATAAATAAGCTAAAAATGTTCAATCTTCAAACGAAGTGTACGAAAATGAGTATTCGGGAAATGGCCACGGCGTCGTCCGTTCTCCTGCTGGCGACGGTGACGATGCTCCACGAGCATGTCGTATTAAATTTAATAATTTCATGTAAACTTCTGAGCGGATTTCCGACAGTACGGTTTCCAGCTCAAAAGGTTTTAAAGATGCAAAGTATTCATTTCGTGGATCACTTGGTCTCTGATCAAAAACTTTTGCGTCACCATCTTCTAACTTTGCATAATGGACACATTTGGTTTTGACTGTGTTGATTTATTTGAGAAATAACAAAAACCCAAAAAAGGGCTTACAACACTAGTTGCATTGAGTGATAAATGTTTAACGTGATTTTACGGTGACGGCGCTAAGGCAACTCACAATACAGCGCTATAATCTCCTTGGCCGCACGTAATATTACGATGATGGCGACCGGCGATTGTCCGCACTAGTGCGGTTCTGCGTTATGAAATTTTTATATTATTGTTATAAATATTAAATAATTTTAAACTTAAATACATTTTAATTAGTACAAATACTTGCATCAAAGTAACACTATGGTTATTTTCTAATGAAAGTATACACTTTCATTGCAAATAGTGACAGTAATATCTATAGTGCCTTGTTTGTTCTTAGACAACCTATTAAGTATTTTTCGAATTCGCCCCATCCCTAGTACTCGTAAAATTACGTGATTGGCGATACAGATAATGGAGACGGTGACCACAATTTAATTAAACCTCAAATTTCACAGTATTTATCACTCAAAACATTGAGAAATATCCATAACAATAAAGATTATACCCTACATCTTGAAATTGACACATTTTATATGGAGTTTGTGCACTATAAGAAGATTTTTAATAAAATAACGTGATTGTACGTATGTGGCGATTCGGACACAGCTTTCGAAAACCGTAATATTACGTTGTCGGCGGTTAAAGGGTTAAGTAAATAGACACATCATAAACTTATCTAATTCGAAGGTTTCAAAAATATAGTTTTTAACCGATGTTATTGATTTTATAGTTGCGTTTATACATTTTAGTACCCTGAGGGTCAGTGACGACGTCTGTACAGCTGACCGTATGCCCAAGTTACTTGCCGGTTGCAGTTGGTACTAGTTCTTTATTGTTCTTAGTGTTAGATATATACTAGCTATGTAAGTGAAATATAATATGTACGATATAATAGACTTTTATTCACATCCCTAGCCGATAGTTTTTCATTTTATTTTATTTATTTATATATGCTTTATTGTACACATTTAAGTAGCTTAAAACAAACAATTGAAGTAAATATGCGTACAATGGGCGGTCTTATCACACAATGGTGATTTCTTCCAGACAACCTTTGGATGGAAATATTTGTAAGAAACCAGATAAGGGGTAGTTAATTGTACAATAAAAAAAACAGAATAAAAATACCTACAATACAACCTACAATAGATATAATGTACTAGCAAAATATAAACAAGAAATACATAAATAATATATAAAAATACAATAAGCTGTTGTTATTCATGTTGGTAACTTGAAGAGAATCTTTATACATTTTCGATTAATTAGAAAGTATGAGAGTTTTCGGAAAATTCTTATTGAATATAGGATAAAGGAGTAGGTACTAGGTACAACAATGACAATAAAAAGGTCATCAATCAAAGTTCATATCGCTTTAATGCTTAATCATATTGCCACTTTCTTAAATCACATGGAAGAAACAATAAAAGTATTAAACAAAATACTTAAAGATTTATTATTAAAGAAATTAAATAACTCATAATTATTTTTCATTATCATTATTTCGAACAACAATAACAAAGCGAATAGCTATGATTTATTTGATCGCGGTCGGGTCCCGCGCACTTCGTAACGACGCTATACATCACAATAATAAAACAACATCTCTGATAGGATGGCCAAAGCCACTACACAAATTGATTTCATGATATAATATTGTCAAGGTACTCCGGAGCAGCCACGTGCCACACACAGGCACATTATACATCGCACTTATGTCGTACACGTGCCCCTCTAAGTACGATTGTTCTCACCATCACATTGCATGTCAAATTTAATACATTCATTGACTGAACAATACCTCACATCGCACCATAAGAATTATATTAACGCAAATGGACTTAACTTTCAACTTAAGACAACTGTATCTAGATCCTTGATTACATTTCCTTCACTATTTATAAAATACATTGTTTTTATATTACATTTTCTCAAAATATACAGCGCCTGCAGCCATTTGTCATTGTTACACTAAAATTAAATTAAATAAATAAAAAGAAATATGAAGAACAAAGACGTGAGGCACAAAATGATTCAATTTAAAATAATACAATTACTTCTTCATTATATACAAAAATAGTCTATGATAGACCTAACCAGATGTGGTTGCCCAAGTACAAGTTACATATAATAAAGCTTGTCACTTTATAGAGCATTTCCCGATGATAAAGTTAATTTTAAGAGTATGCATTTGTGTCAATGTAATTCAATGGTGCGACATCACAATGTTCTTGTGTTTACTCGCGAACGAGAACGCAGAGGCTTGCCTTACAACAAATAACCGCTAAATAACATTAAGACATTTTATTGTTATCAGTTCAGGGAAGCAAACAAATAGTAACTATCATGTAAAGTGCTTCATGTTCAGTTCATGACATGAATACAGCGTCATATAGCGAGCCGACCTCGTTCTCAGCTGTGATACGCGTTTGTGTACAACAAACTATTACAATAATTAAATTACATTTAAATTAATATGTATTATTGACAAAAACGAAATAATTCAACTAAATTGAACCGAGTTAACATCTACATCACTAATGGGCTATTCGTGTGAACGGTGCGCACTGTATAAAGTCTCTGAGACTCGCTTACTTATAGCCTCTATGAAGTGTGACGAATATTCATTAATACCAATATATAATATATTATTATAATGTGCCATACACGCAATGTACGTAAGCCAAACAGATAAAATAATTGACAGAAAAATTTTGGCAAATGTGAGCAACTCTAGCAAAGTACACGCGTCGATTTCACTGTACAAGCTAAAGGAACCATATCAATTATAATAACAATCTTTATTGTTTATATTGATGTCAGACATTGCAATACTTGTGTGCAGCGAATGGCAATATTGTGGCTTTCTCACAGTTCACGGTGGATGCCAGTGTACAGTAACAAGTGTTAGTGGAAATAGTAGCACGGAGCTAGCGGAGCTGGTGTTGCCCCGAGCCCGCCCGTCCGAACAGCCCTCACAAACGTCACACTACGCAGTTCGCCGCGGAAAGCCCCCGCCGGCGCCGGCGCATCACACTACACTCAGTACATACACGCGATGATGCACAGCGTGCAGGGCGGTTTCTGCAGCCAACGTGTCAACTAAATCAACACACATCGAATCCAAATTATACAAACCGCTAACATTAAAATTATACAACACCAAACTTGTCATATTAGTACTATGCTAAGCAGAAGGCTAACCGATGAAGTCAGGCGTTAGATGCAAAATCGAGGAAGATTTGTAGTTAGAAGGTGGCCGTCCTTCGCTCCAGTCGGCCCTGTGCCAACGTAACGGCCCTGTGGCAGTACACGACAACACGTGTAGCGCACAGGGTCTTCATAGAAGATAGCACGACCGGTCACGTTATGTTGGACACGGCCGAGAGAGATTGTTTCCCATACAAACATACTTAAGCACGAAGTTAATCGACGCACGCCGTGATATTATGTAACGAGCCTTCAAGGAACTGGCGAGTACTCAGTCGGCAGTATATTGCCAAACACGGCCTGTCTTACAGCATATCACTGCATGCGTCATTTAGAAATGGTAGAGCATGAAAGATACACAAACGAAGTTCAGTATTAGCGTGCAACTAAGTTGTACTATTTATTAATATCTATAAAAAAGAGAATTTGTCAGTTTGTACAAGTTAATATTACGTAATGAGAATTATAATGTGCTTACTATGTTAGTGTAAAAATATTATAGGATATTATTTTCAGTTTCATTTATTTTCTAACGATTAGAACGCGACATGTCGCTGTAGTCAGGAATTTTCTAAAGGTATTTAAACAGACACAAAAATACACCTATACTTATAAATAATCTATCACCTCCGGCTCGAGTGTCGTCTGCGGCACGGAAGCTGGCGAATCTGTGATATCGAGTAGAACACCGCGCGCGGCCAACGTAACGTCTAACTTACGTATATCAGTGATGCTTAGAATTGTGTAACGGGTATCACTAGTCACACTGCCTACTGCCCTCCGCGGGGCCAGTGACTGGACGTGGCTAAACTCTCATGTCTTCTAGTGTCTTACTATAGCTGAGAATTTGACAAATTGTGTGCAACAAGCAGTGATTTCATTATATAACGTGCTAAGAACAAGTAAAAGTTAAAAACTTAAAGATAAAGATCGCCTTGTGAATATCTTAACATTGAAAAGTGTCGCTGTTTTAGTGTCTTTTATTTTAATATTTTCAATAGCCTATTTAGAATTAGTTTAGAATATAAGAGGGTTGATAGATATTGACTACGCTTACATACGTGCGTACAATAAACAAGTATGATCAGAAATAATTCATTGTTCATATTCCACGCAGAGACCGCAGCGTCTCCTACATATACATAGGTGGCGGCCGACAAGTAACGTAATCGTTAACTATGTATATTACCTACTAAGCACAATTTTCCTTGAAAAAATATACTTTGAACTACATCGAAATTTGACAATTGTAATTATTGCACATTTATCTCTTATTCGCACTGTACATGTACATACATATGTAATGGATAATACATAAATGTACCTTCGTATAAAATTAATAATTTCTTGATGTATATTGTATACTTGTACAATCAGAATACTATAATAAAATGGAAGCAACTTGTTCGCACGGTGTAATTCGTGGATTTCTGTGATAGTTCATACGAGTCACTATCTCATATTGAAATATATACTCTAAAGATATTAATTACTATGTTTAACTTCATTCTAACACCAAAATGTTCCTTGTAAAGTGCATTTGATTATAATATAGTTACCGGCAATGTGCTATTTCATTGTACTATACAATACGTAGTGACCATTGAATGCGAGGTACAACCAGGGCCTAGGAGACAGGTCCGAATAGAGACTACCTTACATTATCAGCTCCACCAATAAGTACATTGAACCACAAAAGCTTTATACACAGGAACAATATCTTCTAAAAATATCTCTGATTGATACGCACATTAATGTCATCTTTTAACACTTTAACTTTATTGTAACAATATAAATCCTAGTTCTTTAACGACTGACTTTATGTCTGTGCTAAGTTCAATGTACTGATAATTTGAGGTAGCCGTAACTAGTAGCGCAATACTTGGCAAAGAGTGAGCAAAACTTGACTGATTCCCTACTTTTATATGAACACAGGAATCCCAATAAAAATTAAATCAAAAATTTCATTATGATCAAAAAATGTTATTTTTACAAATCTGTGAATATCTATATATGACAGATGTGCTTTGTATTCATTAAATTGAATGTGCTGTATACATTGCCGGTAACGTCTGTCTTACATACTATAGTTACACAAAATATAACACACGAACTACCAGGGAACATTGAAGAAATAAAGAATAAAATACTTGAAAAAGAAGAAAATATTGAACACATATTTTAACAATGTTTAGTCTTCTCTGTCTTGCGCTTACAGAAAATAATAGAGCGACAACGACAGGAATACTTTGCTAAAGCAAATGTACTCAGGAATACCAACCTCTCTCTTTAATAGCTAATATTGCTCATGCCAACAATTTTAAATACATAAGGTTGGCTGCAAGGTAAACGGGACAGGCAGAGATATCAATCTTAGACTAATTGGCGTGAATACGTTGCTGTAACACTTCATATTAACTATTTCACGGGCAATTTCATGAGGTATAGGTCGCATTGCCCATTGTTTACTAGATCTAGTGAAGCAAGCCGACTGGGGAGCCTAGCATGCTTCGTACCTTCATGTCTTATTTGCCATTTATTCTTTCATCATAACAGTCAGATCTAAAATCAGAAAATATCCCCTCAGGACTGTCCAAAAGTTGCCGAGTATTCACGTCAAGTCGGTGTCTCTCGATTCAGTCTATAATCTTCTTCTTTCTGATTATCTATTTAAAGTCAGTTAAAGCCTCGAAAATCCATAAAATAAATAGGTAAGAAAAGTCTCCTACTAGCATACAACGCCAACTACATAAAGGTAAATATATTAATATTTTTGGTAAAATACTTTATTATAGTAACATAATTTTGGACGGAATTCTATTGCGAATGAATTGAACGTGGCCTTCAAAATATACATTTTTGTACACTATTAGTTGTATAAATATAAAATATAAATAGGTAAGTATTTACTTTCGAATAGTAATAGTTACGAGAGAGGCAGAGAGGAAAGTATTCCTGTTGATTAAATAGTATAATTAATTTACAATCGAATAAAAGTAAATAAAACATATAATAAACGAAATAAGAAATAGTTTAGAGATTAGTTGTGATAGGAGTGCCTAATGAGTAGTCCACGAAAGAGAGTACGATTATTTAAACAACGAGTACTCGATGTCGCAAGCGACGCAGGGTATGCTTCCATCGTGTCGCGCACCGATAAGAAGACATATAAGTGCACACACGTGTCGTGTGCTGGCACGATAGAACACATGTACCTCTCGTATTTTCTTGTCGAGTACAGCTACTACAGGAAATGTAACAGAAGGAACTGTCTAGTACATTCCGATGACTGTGTCTTATGTACAGGGTAAGTTTTTGAAGCGGCACATCAAACCTATTAGGACAACAATGGAAGCAGTGTATTGTATATATCCTCAAAAATAAGCAGTCCACAATTACTTTTTTAGTTTTTTCGTTTCTCTTATTTTATTTCAAAAACTCATCCTATGCTATAGGTTAGTTAGTTCAATATTTCTAGACGCACCACTATATATAAAGACACTTTTATTTTTACAATTACAACCTATCACGTATGTTATTGCAGCTTATGAGGTATTTTATTAACTTAATCAACAGAATATTGTCTCAAGCAGTTCGGGGTTAGAGTGCATTATTGCTCGTTCCGTATCCGTGCCTTATGGCTAGGGTTAAGGCAAGTCGTGGCTGAATGCCTACCACTAAAACGTTGGCAATTCACTCAAAACTATATTAACTCCTTCAGCAAGTGCTTCGTCCAACTTTACGAGAGTACTAAACTCCGAAATATTGAAATACGATTTGCTCAACAAAGCTATCTAAGTACTGCAATATAAATATCAGCTGTTTAACGGATTCGTTTTTAATGTTTCACAACTGATATTAACAAGGCTATAACCAAGCCTCAGAAACGGGCAAAACTGAATAGGAATTCACTTGATGCACGCAACTCCTAACTAAAATTATTACAAAACTTGAATAATAAATAGAACACATTGTATTGCCGGTTGTAACAAGTAACAAACAGCGATATCGTATAAATAGCGCAATCAAATAAATGTGTATAATTTAATTTAAGACATATCATCGATAACTTATTGCAAGATTCGATATTACTTCATACTTGTCGGCAGTATACATTTGGCAATTTGTCGATGAAGGCTTTATGATTATTCTTATTCATGATCATTTCGTAGTCATTCTGCATAAGTTCGTCACGTACACTATCACTACGATGTATTGGCATCGCCAACGAGTGCATCCCTCGATATTAAATAAAATCATCACAACAATTACAACATATCAAAGCGAAAAAGACGAAAAGCGTGTTGTCAATATCATGGGCAAACCAATTTCGGGAATATTAATTTCATCGTTTAACGTGTTCTCTTTTACATATCATTATTTGGTTTCTTTAATACTATAACTTTAAAAATATCAATATCCAATGTTAGCCTAGACCTACGCACTGTACAATTATTATTATTACATCAACATATTTCAGTGTCACTTTCGTATCTGTAAGTAAACAATCACGGCGATCCTATTTTTGCATATCTCGAAAACAAGAAGCAGAAACAAATGGAAAGTAAAGATTTCGATTAGTAAAACAGTATTTGAAAAATTGTCTACGAGCAATATATACATTTAAAATCATAGCATTCAGTGCGAGAATATTGTCAAGTAAATCAGCGTCATCTACAATACACGACTTGCGCCTGTTACTTCATAATTTAGTGATTCAGGCGAAACATTGGAGTACAAGGGTATAAACAATTGTTCGAATTGATCCACTAGTCCACGTGGTCGGCTTGCACCGACGACAGCTAGGCAAGCGCTACAGGCCGGGGTAGTTGTGACCAGACACGCGATTCATGTCAGTACATACAGTCAACCGGTGATATTACAGGATTGTCATCAATTGTTATTGCAGACTGCTTTCAGACTAAAGTGTCGCAAATGCATGCGGAGGTAGGCACAAATAGAGGTAGGCACACGAGACTTATAGCTTTAACTTTACGCCGTATCATACATGTTACATTATGAAATAATCGCACTTTTATTTCAATATAGTTAGAAACAAAGAGCGGGCAGACCTACCTAGCGATGTATTGCTATATTACGATCTTACTATCCGAGGATGACGTCTAAGGGTTAACTTTCGAGATCTTATTAAGTAAAGAGAGATATTACTAAGGATTTGTCTCAATTAACTCTATCATTAAACTGCACTAAGGTCTACTATGCTTCTGCTTCCTCAAGTGTAGACCACCTACCGTATGCCTATCGTACGTATTACTAAGTAATAATAACATAGCAGGCAGTTATACGAAGCCAGGGCCTGTCTAGCGCTGCTATCGACCGCCTAACGAAGGTTAACATCTATATTGCTTGGCAAGGCTAGGTAGCGCAGGGGCTGCAGCAGTTTAGACTGAAAGCAGTGTTACTCGGAGACCGAGGCTTCACTTCTTGGTGGGGGTCCCGCGCTGTGTGAGCCCCTCGAACCGCTTGAACGTGTAGTTGATGAACACCCAGTCTTTGTACGCCACCTCGCCGTCTTGTGGGATTGGCGCTGATGCTGCAACAACGTACACAATGTTCATAATGGTTGCTGTTGCATAGCTGGCTATCATTATAAATAGAAAATAATTGACAGGAGACTAATTGTATAGTGCAAACAACACTATGTCTAGACTCACGTATTTCGAGCTTGACGTCTGGGAAGTCGTCGAAGTTAGAAGTATCGTCTATAGAGCGAACTTCCACGGAGATTGCGGCGGGACGCTCCCGCACGTGGCTCCAGTCGACGCCGCGGAAGAACGACACCGACTTGACGTCCTCGATGCCGCGTTGAGAACCCAATCTGTAATACATTCAACATTCATTCATCATTAGTTCACTGCAGAACATTGGTATCTCCAATAGTACAATATTAAACTTCATCTTCATATCTCCACATCCAGTAACAATCACCGTTTATTTTGTAAGAAGATATCTATATATAGCTTTCTACAATGATCCATCTCCGTATCTCTTTTGACGCAACATAATAGTCTTTTCAGTCATAATTTACTCATCTTACCCATATTTCCACCACGCGAATTCAAAACCATCTAGAGAAAAGTCCAACTAGAATGTTGAATATAACTCATTTTGGCTAGATACAACTTTCTGAACCGTTTTTATGCAGTACTAGCTTCAACCGGCAACTTCGTACACGCAATCCCCTTTTTTGTCCCGTTCACGTTCGTGTTTTTCAGTAAAAGTAAAAAAAGAGTATTGGAAAAGGCATCGTATGTCCGTCTCCTAGTTCTAAACTACCTTGAGGAGGTTTCCCATTCTCATTCAAATCGATTTAGCGGTCCTTGATTTATAAATAGTGCAACTAACGCGACTTCCTTTTACATATACAGATTATAACGACATTAAAAACATTTTCAATATCTGCTATCTATCTACTTAGTTTACGATTTCCATAAAAGTGACTATGTAATCTGTTTGAATGTCTATTGTAACAATCTCACTCGTTACACCTCTTTCGTGAATCTTGTAGCATTTATTCTTTCAATGCGAGAAATCATTAACATCCTTTAATAAATCTGTGTATCTACGTTTCAATCCAATGGTTATGAACTAATTAGCATTATCTGATTAGCATCCCTCCTCAATAAATGAACTATTCAAAAATGTATTTATTATATTCGAACCAGTAGTTTCGTAGATTACAGCAAAACAAGCAACAAACTCTTCATCAAAAGTAAGTAAATATAGTTAGTATAGTAGTATATAGTGTACCTGCGGTCTGGTTCTGAACAGAAGCGTAATATGGTCTCCCGTGCTTCCTCACTGATGGGTATCTCGGGCGGGAAGGTGAGGGACTCCCGCCACGACATCACCTTCCTGTACGTCTCCTGAGGGGACTCCGAACAGAACGGAGGGTAGCCGATCAACATCTCGTACCTGGAAACAGACAGTATCTGGTTAACACCGGTAATGGCCGGTTTATGAAGGACATTTACGCATTTTTAGTGATGTTAGCACAAATAAGAGGACATGTAATTATGTAGATTTTATTAAATACATCCTTACTGTTCGCTTCACAGTCTCTGCATAGCCACTATCTACCAAATAAATATGAGGAAAGTGAAACTGGGTCTTAGTGTAGCTACCACTGTTAACTTATAAGCAGACATGTTCAATCACTTTGGTGTACACTTCTTGATTGAGCCACCTACGGTTATTATGTAGGCGTACCGTAGTGGGCGTACTGGGTCGACATTCGATTTATAAAGTAAACCTCTGCACAGCTGAATACTTCAAGATAAAAGTGGACTTTAGATATTTTGCTAACATTATTTGGAGAGAAATAAAATATTGTCGCAGAGCTTTTAAGGACAATACTCGAATTCTAATTTCTAGTTACGCATTGCTGATGTGATACGCTAAGCCGAAATTATAATATTTATTTTTATATTACTGGGTTTTTATAAAAATTCTCAGTGGTAGCACGGAATCTGGAATTGTACCCCGTATTTGGCAATAGGTTCGCCCTTATTTTAATAGATATTATTAATAATTTACATGATTCTTTTCTGTATATTAACAGTTTGACTGCCGACAGAAAACTGTTGAAGGAAAATCCTCCGCTATCGTGGCCCATACCTTGTCCCCATGGCGTTCAAGGTGTTAACACCTATTTGTTCAAATTGTCAATGGTACAATATGGACTCTGTCTGTCATAGTGAACTATCACCATAATAGGTATTAAGGAAGTGTTAGAAAAGACTTAGTAATATTATTGTTTTCTCTGTAAAGGCATACAGGCCCTGGGTTTATTGAAACGTAGCTCCAATCCGAGGTAAATCAGAGATGTTTTATTCATTATTTCTAATTTACAAAATGAACCCGGTACTATATTTAAATGTAATTTACGACAATACGTCGTTGGTACGATATTGGTTGCCTAGCAAAGGTTCAAGATTACGATTTCCGAGTCGGCCTAAGTACTGTTAAGATTTTTCGATGATTCGATAATATGTCAGTAGAGTGGAGTAATTTATGGCGTGTTCGCACTCAGTCTATTCATGAGACTAATGACATAACGGAGGAAAGATTCATCTTTGCCTGCCCCGTTGGGGATTCAAAAGGTGTAATGTTCTGACTCCTTTTTACGTCACATCATTATCAAAAACAAACCAACAAAATAAACATTCGCATTTCCAATTACTGACTAATATAATTTAAAAAATCACTTGTAAGGATTCTGGCAAAGCAACCGTCAAATTAATGATTTTCATTCGATCTGATTACTCATGAAGCTCTATAAATCAAAGCAGTCTTTTTATTTGATCTCTCGAAATTAGTGAAGCCATTATTTTTAATCAGGAATATTGAATATCTATTTCTTGTAGGCAAAATACGTTTTTCTTTTTATCTTTTTGGAAACTTTAGCGTTTCTTGTTTCCTGTATTACATTTCATTTTAAGTTATGCGGTGTTAATAACATTATATGTTTTTTTTATTTAATTTCTTGATTAGGAATCATAACAAAACTGTATTTTGTATTGTACCAAGTACTAAACTCTTACTGTTTTAGAAATGTGATGAAAATTTTCCAACATTGTAGCCTGAATTATCCCAATTAATACCTACGCAGAGCTGTTAAACCTAATCATAGCAAGCTAAGACGCATACATAGTGCATTCGAATAGCTTAAATTGCAAAGATCTTATATTTTTATAAAAAATCGCTTTAGCATTAAAACCAAATACTATTTAACACATATAATACTGACGTTACCTGTGACCAGTGGCTTTCTAGTATAAGTTATTATTTTACGCCAATGTTCAGTTAGTAACGCGTCACAGTTACATTTCAATTTATTTGTCCTTACAGTCATCACAAATACATAATTTAATATCTGTATAGATAAGAAATTGCTCTAGCTTGTTCATAAACTGTGATATGATATTCGTACCCAAACAGACAATGTGTCTGGATCTATATCATTGCAATGTGATTGGTATTGCATGTTTTCAGCCAACATTGTGATACTAACATGATAACGCCGAGACTCCACCAGTCCGCCTGCGGGCCGTACCCAGTCTGCAGGAATACCTCGGGGGCTATGTAGTCGGGTGTGCCTACAGTCGAATAGGCCAGAGCCCTTCTGTTTCTCTTCCACGACTCGGCCCGCCGCTTCGAGTCCATTGCCGACGACGACGTCGATACTGCATACGAGAAATTGAAGTGTAGAGCTTAAATAAAAAAAGGTAATAAACACTTAATTAATATTCTACGTGATCGCACATGATACCCATCCTCCTGTCCTCTCCATAGCGGCTGCGGTGGCAGCTTTGTACTTACGAGAGCTCGTCTCGTTAGTACTGCGAAGCGAAATGTAAGCGAAGCGTCACCCGCGCCCCCACAATATAAGCCAACCAGTTAATACTGGTCTATGTTGAGCAACTTAAATTGATAGGCAAGCAACTGAGGGCAATGTCAATAAACCGCTGTCGAGTATTTATGAAATAATGATTGATGAGATACAATGTACTACGAAAGATGGAGATGACACTATATTTAGTATATTACTTACTCATTTCTGATATGAGTGTCAAATTAATATCATGCACAGGGTGATGCAGCAGGATGTCAAAATAAATAAACAATATCAACAGCGTTTTATCAACAATAGTGTGTATAAAGTAGTGAGGAATGAATATAAATATGTAATATGTATGTTTATCAATAAATAAAGGTATCAACTTACTGAAATCCGAGGGTGTTGCTCTCGAGAGGTCCCGGTAGAAGTCTGTGCGGTGACTCTTCTTGAGGCCGGTGCAGAGACCGAAGTCACTCAGTTTGATGTGGCCGCGCGCGTCCAGTAGTAAGTTGTCAGGCTTTATGTCTCTGGAAACGAAGACATACATTCATTATATTTTTTTGACTGCACGGTTGGCGCGGTGGCTGGTCAACTGGCTGCCGCGCAACGTGTCGCGGGTTCGATTCCCGCACGGAACAACTCTTTGTGTGATCCACAGATTATTGTTCCGGGTCTGGGTGTCATGTGTATGTGATATTGTATGTTCGTAAACGCACCCACGACACAGGAGAAAATCATAGTGTGGGGCAACGTTTTAAAAAAAAAATATTATGATTTATAAAAAATTACTTGCGACTTAAATCTAAGTAACTGCCTAGGATAAAAAGAATGTACTCTTTGAAGTAGACATGTTGTTGATAACCACATTCCTATCCACGTGCCACATCACTTTCATCCCAAAGCTTAATCCGCAATCTTGTCATATAAAAGAACTTTCATGTTATTATATGTATGTCTTTCATCCCTTTTCAGAATACACTTTATGTTCACAACAATACGAGAGGCGACCTCCTTTCATTCCCTCTGTTATATGAAGTATAAATATGTCGATATATAATATATGTAGCCATGTTTTCATTGTTAAGTACAATAGACCAACATACAACCAATAATCAGATAACCTTTTTTCCCCTCGACAAAAGCGTATCTATAGTAACGATCAAACGTTGTACCGGAGACAATAACTATTTTCCTAGTATTGGTCTTAACAAATCCTTCCGATAATCTCCTATACACAATTTTGCTTAAGTTTGGTACATATTTTATATTTTTATACCACAGGACTAGAAAGTTCGAAGGCCAATCCTAGTCCAATATCAAAGTGCCATTATTTCAGCCATAAATAGGTATTGTGTTGACTAATGAAATGTTTGCGTGAAAATTATTCATTGATGTATAAATATGTACTCAATACATAGTTCCATTATAATACTTCCATATATAGCTTGCAAACGACTTGCTATGACGATGGTTTAATAGAATAATGACTGCACAATGCACATATTAAATTAAAATCGTCCTCTTCCCCCTTCAATTCAAACCGCAGCGGATAACACTGAATAAATAAATCGATTCAATCTTATACACGTTCAAACTTCTACAATCACGATTTTGCTTACATATGCGATTCTAATCGTCCAGTAATTCAATTTGTATAGGGCACGAATGTTTTTCATACAGGGGCAAAGCAAACGTCATGTTGACAAGGAGCGACACACCCAAGGCGGCGAAAGCTAATATTGTTAAGTACCCCGATAATATAATTAGCAAACTCTAAGTTATTAACGAGCCAGTACACAGGCAATCAAGTGTGGTTCCAGGTATTTTCTATTTATCCGGCTACTTTCATGACAAAGGAACACCATTACCTGCCCGTCCTTGTAACAGTCATGTCGAAGTGAGAGGCCATTATACTGTCAACTAGCCTAGCTCCGACGCTGGTAGCAGCCGGCTTAGATGTCAAGTGTGTAGAGTGTCGTGTAGCCCAGATTTTTATAATAATATAAATAGCGTACGTGTTGACACGTACATCATGTTATTGTGATAAGTTAAATCAATAAAATGTTCACTTAATGAGTTAACTTTGTAAAGCAACAACAAAAAATATTACCTTTCTATTTAGAATAACTGCCGATAAGAGCGGCACATTAATCTGTGGCCTAGTTTAAATTAAGCTGAAGGTGAGCAGTTAATGTGTACACAACATAACCCCTTACTGTCTCACGGCACTCAAACGATGACCCCTTCACTTCCTTCGAATCAAAATGATACAGCCACACAGGATCATCAATACAACATTTTAACTTTCAAGAAATCAACGTACATACTGGCGTTCTAAATAAATTGTACATATTACGCAAATTACTGAGAATTAACAATCGACATTGATCGTTCAACGAATTGAGACATGACCATTATTCCAATTACGTCCCGAGGTTACATCATGACAATAATACACTATTTTTGCCCTCCGTGTAAATCAATCTGTAGCGGTTATAAAAAATGCATGAAACGCGATCAAACCAAATCGTTCCGTGTTCACCGCAGCCTACGACTGGAGTTCGTGTTCAACATTTAGAAGAAACTGTTATTCATCGCGGCGCTACACTTTACTGATGAATACTCGAAGAGCTTTGAAGCGATTGAATTGAAATGACTGATATGATACTTTTATTTCTAACGAGTAGACACAACGGCGGCAGGTATCTATTAATAAAACACATAGTTATGTTAGGTAACAATGAGGGTCCCTAATGGCAGAGTAAACAGCCGCTAGCTCAGTGGCCGACACTGCAATCATCCGGTTCAACGATCTGTGCGTGAGGACAGACCTTTATCGCAAGCGTGGGTATACGTTAATACCTTTTATTAGAAGCAAAAACACTACAATTATATGTCTGGGCTGGTTTCCCTGGAAACGATGAGCAGACGTGTTTTACAAACCGAGTTTTCAATATATTGCACAACTTGTGACTACTAAACTTAATACAAACGAAATACCTACTACTATGTTATTAAAATAAGTTTTTATATCGATTGACTAATAAACGTATTAAGTATCATCAAGCATATGCATCAATAGCGCAGCTAGTAATGACCTTGGAATCGATTGCGAATGTCAAAGTCAAATCAATTTTTATTCATAAAGACTATAACTGGTAGTCGTATACAAAACGAAACAACACAATATTGTGACATGCAGATCATTGGCACGGCCGTCAATTAATAAGCATGCGTCATTTTATTTAAAACATATAAATAAATAGAAATTGAAAGATTTTGTGGAGGTCATCGGTCAATTACTTCAACTTCAGGGTTGAGCGACTATACGCTAGAGACTAAACTTCTCAAAGATACTATAAATTTTGAAATTGTATAATACGAAAGTTACGAATATTGATCGATTACTCTCTTGAAAATAAATTATAGCAAAAATCCCATTTACCCCAACATAACACCACGGTGTGAGAGAGCCATGCTTCGGCACGAACGGGCTGGCATGACCGGAGAGAGACCACAGTCTCGCAGAAAATCGACGTGAAACAACACTTGCGTTATGTTACTCCACTCTACCGAATGACCCCTAATCTCCCAATCCCCGAATAAGTCGAAACAATCCTCAAATTCCTAATCCCCAAAAGGCCGGTAACGCACTTGTAACACCTCTGGTGTTTCGGGTGTCCATGGACGGCGAATTGCTTAAAATCAGGTGATCCGTCATCTCGTTTTTCGGCTTATTCCATAAAAAAACCAGCAGGCACTCATGGAGCAGAGATCTAGTATTTAATTTGTAGAAATACAAGTACACACCCTACTTCCATTTACTCACTCAGTTTGCCTTATTTGCCTCAAGAAACAAGGACCAAATTAGCATACACCGAGCACTCATCAAAATGGTTGTTGGCATACAGAAGGTTGTAATTATACAATGATGGACCTTACCTGTGTATGAAGCCCAGCTTGTGTATACTGTCAATCGCGAGTGCCGTCTCCGCCACGTAGAACTGTGCGCACTCTTCACTGAGGGTGTCCTTCTTCATGAGTAACGTCATCATGTCGCCACCAGGTAAGAACTCCATGATTAGGTACAAATTCATGGGGTCTTGGAAACTGTAGTACATTTTGACGACCCATTGGTGGTCGGCTTCTACTAAGATGTCACGTTCTGCACGAACGTGGGCTACCTGCGAGACGACACGTGATCGTATATAACACATTATCGGTATTACATTAAATAGAATTTTGAACAAATATTATTCTAGTAAGTCCCAAGTGGGACTCAAGTATTCGTCTCAAGTAATATAACTTTCCAGAGGAAAAATGAGATCGAGTATTTTTTTTACTTTTAATGGAATATTACCCATAAAAACGAGACACATAGAATAAACAAAGCTAGTAGATGGACCACAATATTGGTACACTATGATATACATGGTGTTGTTTTAAAACCGCGTCATTTTCTAGGAGGTAACTCGGCTATGGATTCTAAGTCCGAATCTTTTTTTCAAACCGAAAAAATATTTTTCATTTTTCTGTAAATTACGGAAATCCGTAAGTGCGAACTACACGCCGTCGTCTTGTGACTAGCGTCTTTATAACACGGCTTAACACACACAAACTCAAACACGTAATTGATATTATTCCTAATTCCATAACACTCCAATTAGAAACATTGCTGTCGCTTATTCTGAAATACGATTATTCTTCTTATTCTTTATTCTTCTTATCTGATTATTATTCTTTCAGAACCTTTTACCTATTGGCCTGAAATTTTCTCTTACTATGAACCTTTATGACTTCTGTGACATGCCCCCGAGAAATGACACGGCTTCAAAACTACACCTTGTATATTACAGTTAAATCGTCAACTAACGTTTTACTGCTAACAGTTGGCATTATAGTCAGTTATCAGGCACGTTACTTGTATTCGATTCCATACAATTTATTGTCGCTATCTTACAATTCCGTTCGTACGTTGCATTCAATAATTGACAAGGAAATAACATGTTATTACTTGTGTAAAGGGACTGAGAATAGCATCGCGTGTCTACTGGACAAGTGTCCGCTGTCTAGCCTCTCATCATGCATTACTTATAAAGGAAGCCTTTTACAATACACGAGTCTACCGTGATCAGTACGTAATATACGTCAAGATTTATGCAGTGGTTAGCAAGTTACAAATATAGTTTAATGTCCTGTAAAATTGAGGAAGTTAATTTTGAATTTACTTCATCATGAACAATAACAATAATGTTATAAAACATTAAGCGCATTACGTTGTTACTATATGTGAATGCAATTCCAATTCACATTATGACTCAGCTAAAAATTCCCGATAAGGGCAAACTTAGCGTGAATTTCACTCGGCCTTTCGAAAGCACAGCGCTGTGGTTGTGACTCATCATACATAACCGAGCGTTTGACGCGAACTACTGACTAGAGCATGCATTGTATCGTCGGATCGTCCGTCGCACAATCTTTCAATCAATGCAAACAACCCTTAAGTGGGTCGTAGCCCGTCTCGTATATAATCTACACAAACCTGTTCTTTTTCCAACATGTCAGCTTTTCTGAGTATTTTCATAGCGTAAACGTGTCCTGTATCTTTCTTTTGCACCAGTCGAACTTCTCCAAAGGCGCCTCGTCCGATAACCTGCGGGACAACGAGACGGCCAGACGTTATGTTAACGTACATTAAGAGCTATGAGTTACGACGCGACGTTGCTCTGTGATTGTTCGGCCAGACATTCGCACATGTAGTCAATAACATCTTCCGATTGCTCGACAATGGTCCTCGATTGACTGAATACTTGAGTGAACGTACCTTAAGCGGTTCAAAATCTTCCACGCCGAGCCTCGACCGTTTAAGTCTGAGGAACTCTGTTTCCTTCTGAGCATGTTGTTGTCTTTTCTCTTTCTTTTGGCTCTCTGTAAGGCTGTCATCTTTCAAAGACTCTTCTAACTTTTCGAGCCTGTAGGAGAAGCAAAGGTGAGTACCACAAAGCAGTAGAAGGACAGTGCAAAAATGACATGGAATACATATACCTCTGTTTTCTTTCTAAGTGCTGTGTGATGAGGTTCGTGTAAAAATTCTCTAAGGTGACCTTGGCTTTGGTGGCTTTGTCTAGCGTTGACCCGCTAAACCGTATATTATCTGTGCCTGTCATCTCCAGCACCCCTGAGGACAAACAAAAATAGCAACTATAAGTGGAAAGTACTAAAGACAGAGTATTTAATTATGTGTAACTAACTCAGGTACTAAGCCAAAAGGGCGGGAAGTTTGCATTTTGTAATATTCGTTGCACGGAAAGTTTCCAAAAAGTCATTTAAAAGCTTTAAAGTAATTACTAGCCACTTCACTTACGAACCTTCTCCTGCCGTGAGTGAACTAGATGACGCACGTGCATCAGTCATAGCTATTGGCAGTTCGTATCGCGATCAATCATGAGCCCTCGAGAGGAAACGGCTGTTTACGTCGAGGACTTAGTCGAAGCGTGCAGTAACGCGCCGCATCCCTTCCACTGTTCATCAAATATATTTACTAAGTATTTGTTCACTGTTGTGTTTACTAAAGCCCTCAAACTGGGGTTCTATTACTTGTACGGAACCCCAATCATCAGCTGACCACAAAACGTGGTAATTTCTCAATTAAGAAAGTTTTGTAATAACGCAAACTTATAACGTGGCATTAAATAGATTACTTTGATGTTTAAATTTTCCAGCCAAGTGCGGATGCCTTTCACCGGTTCACCGGACCAAATTACATTCGCCAACAATATAAAACAAAAGAGCTGATATTATTATTATTAGCAAACATTGCTTTGGACGGAGGAGACACGAGTAAACAATACAGTAAACAAACAGGTCATGACTGTTTAATTAGAACAATAACAGAATGCGGATCGATGAATAATCAGGGTCGCGGTAAACAAAGGTGTGCAGGGAACGGAGCCGTACGGCCTGGCCTCCTGGCTCGGGTTCCAATCAATGCTCCTCTGTGTGCAGCGCCACAGCGCGAGACACAATCAGCGCTTTCATGTCCACTCCGCTTTATCTCGTGCACTGTGCACTATAAATAATATTGTGCGCTACCTTATCTGCGTGTCAACCATGGCGCTAATGGAATACGATTGTTAACTCTATTATTTAATCATAACTTCCTTGGTAAACATTTATTTTCAATCATCCACAGTCAAATGTATCATTTACATGGCATTCATGGTTTCCTGATCTCAATACCTATTCATATTCTTTTCTTATTTATTTATTTATTGTTTATTAATTAACAGGGTATATACCAACTACCTTTATCAAATTAAAATTATAAGGAAGGAAACTAAATTAAAGTACACATTAAAAAAGGTGTTAAGAGTAAATGAGAGTATATGTTTATAAAGTACTATAGCTAATGTGCTAACGGACAATAGTTTCTTTCATATAATGAACTATTTTACTAATAGTATCCGTATATACTAAACGTGGTTAATTGAAACATTTAAATTGACCGTCAATCACATTCATTAGTAAGTTTAAAAAACTTAATTCATCGCATTGATAAATTGTAGATATTAAAACAAAGTTAATTCTACTCAATACCTATAATTTTAAATGATTACAACTACTAGAGAACATCCACATCTTTGTTTAATTAATTGATTGATTTACTTTGTTACCAAATTGTATAACAGATTTAGCCTCCAGCCTAGTGTCACATATTGTATTTTTTATCATTCTTATCTTTGCTGTGCCAACTTTTTGTTGTTTGTATAGCGACAAAGTTTAATAACAAAACATGAGAAATCTACATAAATGTGGTGAGCATAATCAGCTTATGACGTCACCATCGTCACACGTCACACATCACGTTACGCCAACCTTGACATAAGCCAATGAAGTCTCCTTGCTAATGACTACAGCACTTATTCACCGTGAAATGTGTGCGATGTTTACTCAACATGTATCAGCATGGGCCATGAGGCAGGCCTGGCGACTTATGGTGTCCAGTCATGGAAGTTTACACAGAACGCACAACGATTACTTCTGAGTATTTTCAGCGATGTCTAGCTCAGAATAAGCGCGGTATTTTTACACACACATGTAGAGGAAAAAGTTTAGCACAAACTTTAGGTATCGCTTATCGCTTTCGTGTGACTCATTGGGAACTAGAATTCGAGTTCAATAATAAATTGTCAGTTTTAACTCGTATTTATTCATAATATATTACTCCTAAACACGTGATTTTAATATTGGCTGATGCATAGCCATATTGCTCTGCAGATGGGTAATAAATCAGCGCGTTAAATTCAAGGCTAAATAGTATTTTATTGGAGAAATAATGTTAGTTCAGATGTTAAAATTTTCGTTGATGTATTCAAAACAATGACATCATAATGTCCGTCCGGCACAATGCACCAACCAACTTGAAGCAAAGACCACGACACCGAGACCCCGACGACGGGAGTGACTGAATGTTTGTCCGTACTACACTTGAGCCGCGTAGAGTGCAACGTTAAGGGCCGCCGCGCGCCGCCTACGCCCGTCTTGACGGTCCAGCGCGCTAACACTGTTGTCTGGCTGTACTGCCCACAGAGCCCACACAGATGAACGCATCAGCGACTTCACTTTTATTGATTGTCGCACAACAATCATGTCCACTATTTAATATAACCAATGATCACTTGTTACTAAGTACGTACAAACAACAGACAATCATTATTATTTTTTATTAAAGAAATGACGTAGCTTCAGTCTGGAATTTCTCTTGTATCTTGGGTGTAAAAATTATTAACATTTTCACAAACGCATCGTACTTAAGCCTTAAAAACAATTTTTGGATACCACAACGAATTGTTCCGTATGGGAATCGAACCCACGACACGTTACGCTGTAGTCGGTAGTCCAGCCACTGCGCCAGGCGTGCATTCTACAAACACGTCATGCGATAATTTTATTTTTTCGACGATTACGAATTCGAGCGCTACTAAGTTAATGTATAAAAAAGACATTTTAAATGGGCGTTTTCCTACTAAACTATACTATAGAAACTATCACCGAAAAAGAGCATAACAATAAAAATAAACAGAAACAGACTACGTCCTACTTAAAATAAAGCCTACAATGTAAAGAAAAAACGGTTAAAAGTATGGTGTACCCAGGCTAATAAATAATGAAATGTTTGTTATGTCTCCAGGTAGCGCGCACCTACGATGTTCACATTCGTACTCCACTTCAAGATATAAATAGTTTGAAAAAGCGAGCAAACATTTTCACTCCACTCGACCTATTTAGTACCGTCGCTAACAAAATTGATTTATGGAAATTAAAACAATTTTATCTTATATTTGGCCACGGGAACGATAGGTAGATATTATTCGAAATAAGAGTTCAGAAAACAAGCAAGTACAGTTCCCACCAAAGTTAATTCTTACAATGTTTGCTGCGGTCAATAACACTGGAAATCCAGTCCGGTGATTACCAAAATTATATTTTGAGGTGACAACTTCAAAATACAAGCCAATTCAACAAACACGTATAACATGTAACTGCGCATCAAATTCTCAACCTTCGTCCTTGATCTGAATGTCTAGAATTGGTTGTACCTTTACAAATTTAGACGAAATCGTCAAAAATTATGTGCGACCATGGTCTGGTAAACGGACTAGGATTTCACAATATCAAAGACCATCGATCGTACGATGTTGCAGGGTTGCGTCATCGGTAGATATGAGATGTATCGAAGGTGTAGTGAACAGTGAATAGTACGTAATATTCGTTTATAGATTCATAGTGAATCGGGTCGCCGTAAACCTTATTACCATAGTCTTGGACCGTTATGTTCGTACTGTATCATGTCGTGTCACGACAAAGCGAAAAAACTATAGAAAGTTCACATCCCACACGTTTGCTAAGTGCTCATTCTTTAGTATTTCATGAAATTCCTAAGATGCGACTGCAGTATTTGAAATAAAAATATCACACGCCAAGATCAAAACTGTTATGAATATTTTTAGCGAACAGACTACCTATTAGTGCGCACTGTAACGGCCGCCAAACGTAAGGTTCTGGTTCTGGATGATTTCCGGTTTAACGGCAACTGCAGCTTAAAGTTAACATTTCACAAGATAGATAATTTTAATTAGACCAATTATAGCCTTAATGCATTATAGTCCTCACAAATAGTAGGGGATACATAACGAATAATCGCGCAAACATAATTATCCAATTAGTATGCAAGTTTCGTGACAACTTAATCGAACTCTTAGGATACCTAGGTCAAGGACGCAATATTCCATACAAGACGAAAACTTAAAGTAAGCGATGTCCGACACGCATTTAATTAATCTAGTTTCCTTTTCCTCACATTGTAGGCCTAATAATAGAACTAACGGATTTTTGCGAAAAAACATGGGTGATATTTAAACTTTTTGTTTTTATTTTCGCCATTGCGGTGGTGGCGGAGTAGAGACGCAATAATTGTATTGCGAGCTCAAGTCGGATAAACGTCTGTTTCAATTTCAAGAGACCAAACGAGTGCAAAGAAAGAATCACTCGACAGAAACCACTTCTGTGGCATCTAAAATTAAAAATAAATAAAAAACTAAGTGGATGTCCCGTTCCGTTTACGTAGTACCGCAAAACAAAGATTGTCGTCTGTAAATAAAGCTTTCTTCCGTAAATTAATTCAAGTCTAGAACATTTTTCTACTTTTTGGCACGGAACGTTAACAATACGTAAGGCCATAGTTTACGGAGTTCACACAAGGTCAATGTAACTTCCTGCTTTAAAATAATCGATTTTTACATTATCGGACTATTACCGTTTACCTACTATTGTTGTAACGATATCCAGTAATTAGATCGCTCAGTATACGTGGTATGACTTTGTGGTATTTTTTATCCCATTACTGCCTTGGATATCGCTGCTATATTGCGATACATAAAGAGATTTTGCGTACAGTCATAGAAAACCCTTCCTTTTGGCTTTAACATGCCCAAACTTCTTGACATTATTAGATTGAGTCGTGAAAATTATAGATTTAATGTAAATGCTTGTCTTAAGTGATATAAAAATTAAAAATTCACGTTACCGGGAGGCTGGGGCGCTGGGGCCGGTGTATCTGGGGCCACCGTAGTGCCCGGAGTGCTTTTCCCCCAAGACACGGCTCACTCTGCGCCAAAAAAAAAATATATAAAACATCATCCCTAGAAAATTAGCTTGACAACACAAATAGCACCAATAAAATCCATCATTTTTTTAACATAAATAAAGTGGTATCTCACTTTACAGTGATTTATCTGTATAATTTCTTCATAATCATGGTTATTGTGTACTACATAAAATCGCACTAACTATATACTTGGCAAACAGCATTTGCTAAGTAATTATACAAATCTAAAGGTACATTTAGACTACAACACCATACACTCAGTGTCTGTGTATGAACACGAGTAGATGTAATAGAAAAAAATATCGTGACGCGATAATTAATGTCGCATCAGCCGCCATCTTATCATCTGTGTAAGTGTAAACAGAACAGACAACAGACATTAATGTCAGACATTTTATGTCACAATTTCAGTCAGTGTAAACATACCTTAAGATTTACTTATGTTCTTAAAATTGGATCAGACCATACATTTCATTTTTTAAATAATTTCCTTGTACATTAAAGGAATAGTAGTGAAATCTCTTTAGACAAAAATGAATTGAGAAGTAAGCCATAGGCCCCAGCACAATATAGATACAATAGCTATAGAGAACAATAGTACAGGGCATTTCTTTTGCTTTTATAATAGGCTTTGTTTGTCCATCATCTATCTCTATGAACACTAACTTTACTAAGGAATGAAGAAAATACTACTTGTACAAGCAACGGCTAAGATTCTATCAGGAACCAACTTCGCTATGCATAAAGTATGAGATAAAAATAAATTAGATGTAAGACAAGAACTAGTAAGACATTTTTTAATACAATATACTTATTAAAAAAATGCATCACCTTGGCAAATTCAAGCAGTTGTTTCATTATCTTTAAATTTGCTATCAGCAGTCGTCTTATCTAGTGGATAAACTAGTGATCTTACAAAATATTTATTAAATATTGTATTTATAGTATTGATGTTAGATAATGTGATCAGCCATCAGATAAGTGAACTTGATAATCTGTTACAAATTAGAAGTAGGTAGTGAGATTATGATGGTAATCTTGTTTATTTAATCATGTGGTTTTTAAATTCTTGATATTAAAGGTAATATCCCAAACTCTATTTAAGATATTATGTTTTTATTGGCAGAAAAACTACATCTTACGTATAGAATGCCATTTCAAGACATTTTTAGGATATTCCTCCACATATTTCAATTACAACATTGTTTTTACAACTTTGATATCATAATAAAGACTATAGTTTTTCCTCGACAAATACATATCATGCCCATACCACTTCTAATTATATTATCAATTACTACAAAATTTGGCCCATAACAGACGGAAACTATGCCAATTTTGTCATCAATTATTATTATAACAATGTGAATCACACAAATGGTTCAGTAAATACATTACAATGCAATGGATTGCTCTTATAAAATCAAGCCTAATAATCCAAAGCTTGCAATGTAATGGTTTTCAGAATAATATTGACGTCGAAAAATCAAATAGCATTACAGGTAATAGAATGGCAATAAAAAATAGTAGTAATATCTGTTAAAATGATGTAACAATCAATAAAATAGTAATAAAAAGTATTTTTACTATCATTGCTGTTTACATGAATCTATATACTTGTTGATATCGACTTAGAATATAAAGAAAACATTGTGAATAGTCGCAGTCAGAACAAACAATGTTTATGGAATGTTCTACCAAACTTTAAAAAAAAACACTATAACTACCTACCTTGTTTAACATTCAAAAGTCACTTCCTGATCTAATTTAAATAAAAGATTTTGGCATTGACTTTTTTTTTTTAAATGTTCCCACACTAGGATTTTCTCCCATATTGTGGGTGCATTTACAAACATACAAGTTCACATACACATGATACCCATACCCGAAACTACAACCTGTGGATCACAGATCACACAGAGTTGTTCCGTGTGAAAATCAAACCCACAACATGTTGTGCGGCAGCTGGTTGCCCAGCCACCGCACCAACAGTGCAGTCTATTTAACAGCATCATTTTGAAATGAGTGTTTGATTCATTGCTTTTTAATTTCTTTGTATTTTGCATACCTATCCCATCTACTGCAAACTAATTGGAATAGTGTGATACTATAACAGTCTATTTAACAATTCACATTCTCTCCTTAATAGCAGCAATATAAGAGTGCAATCAATAAGCTATACTACTTGTCTTTCTATTGGTTATAGAACCATGGTAATGAAACATGCAGAGAGCCTACTATACTGTGAGCTCAAGTTTCTGAAGATATGTTCATCAACTTAATATCTAATAAAATTATGATGTATCTTATACACTCCAAGCTTGTTTAAATCCCAACTGTTTTCTGAACAAAACCTCACATTATCTATTATAATAATACATTATTTTTTGTGCATGAACCTTGATCCAAGTCCACAAACCTGGTTTGTATTTTTAAAGAAATTGATATTCTTACACAAATATCAGTCTACTATCTTTTGTTTGGATATTGCTGCTAATGTTATTAATGAAACCAATTCACTAAGATCCAACAAGGTCCTACTACAATAACAAGATGTTGCTAATTATATTTACATTCTCTTACTAATCTCATTATGAGATATTGTGAAAACCTTGTGTGTAAATAAACTCAGTCTGGGATAGACAATTTTGAATTATTGAGATAGGTTAGAACAGCCTGTCTCAGCAAAGGTTAGTGCAATAGGTATCAAATTACATTGATACAATTATGTTATGAGCAGCCTGCAGTAAACGACAACATCGCAGCTGAGCACAGCAGTACAGCACTATCAACTAGTAATTTATCTGTGACAACCTTATCACTGATGGATGGCATCCATCACTTGTCACAAATCATCACACAACGTATAAATAACGGCGGGTGATTGATGTCTTCGGAGACTGGGCTAATTATCGGAGCGCAAAGATGTTGAGGTTTTGCGTCACAAAGGAGCTCATACGACGGAGGCTGGCTCCGAAGAACCCGCTATACACTCCACTCACCTTAGGTTGGACTGTGACCCGAAAAATGTTGCTTGTTCGCCAGTCACCCGACGGCACTAATAAATAAACAGCATGAAAACAATTCTTCTCGACGAGATGACTAAAATCGATAATTTTTTAATGAAAATAAATTATTAACACCGTAACTTGGAACGGTCGACAATTTTTACTTGTTGTCCCACAAATTGCGGTGAACACTCGCGAACAGATAATACCTTTGTTAGATGAATTACGAAAGCGAAATAACGGGATTTTTCACGAGAGACTCTACAGAAATTGCACAAAGAAAGATGTCAGGCAGCGCACAGATGATAAATCGAAAGGTTTGTGTTGCCACTATAGAATTTGGGAAAACCTGACATTAACCGTAAATTCCACCTGGAAAAACCGGTAATGGAACAAGTAATAAATATTGAATTTAAAACTTAAGATTTTTCGACTTATCAATTTCAATAAAATACCTAAATGCTTTTTACAAAATGATGGATGCATCAAAATAAAATCACTATACCTACACAAAGTTTAAAGGATGTTTTATTTTGGTATTTTTAACAAAGGGATTTTAATATCCATAAGTTAATGCTGTTACCCCGATATGGTATTTTTTTAACCTCTTCACTAAATTAAATTGTACTGCAATGAATCACATCAATCAATTCACAGTTTCAGGTTTAATGTTGATTCGTATGTCAGGAAAAAGTTAAGTTTAGTAGTTTTTTCTACTAAATATTTTTGTTAGCTTTTGAATTTTAATATATTTTGTTCGAAATATTTTTTATGTAGGTACGTGTACTATGGGCAATATATATTATTAAAAGGCTGGAAATCTAGCCATATAATGAAAGTAAGGCTAAAACTACAAACTCTTGAATTGAGTGCATAATGTAATTCCTTAAGTAATGACTAGTTTGAGTTAGGAAATATTTGCTTATTCAGTCGGAGTTGTGCTCATTGTTAGAAAATAAAGGTAACTTCAGTAATACCCGATTTTTGTCACACCACTTGCTGGCTGACACTAATAAAGATTTTAACAAATTCTTTAGATATTATTATGTCGCTGTTTTATCTAATTTATGTGTTTATAACACTAATTTTTATCACCTGCTCCCCTCAGCGGTAGGCGGTAGCCCAAATTCTAGTGGTACTATACTATTCGCTGTCCACTCTCAGTTGATGGCGATGGCGTATCGGCATCAGCCCTAATGGACCCCATCCGTGGTGGTCTGATGGCTCTTTGAGGCGCACGCGGAACGCGAAACGCCGTACGCGGAACGCGACACTCCGTACGCTTGGGTCTGGTTCTGGTCGGGCGGTGAGCCACTTATGCTCGCCGTCTAGCCTTACGGTGCGGTGGCCGGAGATCGTCCCGCGATCCCCGATGCCCGGTGTGTCTCTTGCGACGGCTGGCGCGTGAGAAGGCTAGTTCCCTCACGCACTCCGCTTCCTTCTTAGTTGCATGACTGTTTCGCAGAAGAATGAGACGGCATCCCAGTCCCCTCACTACGTAGGTACTATGTTATGAACCAAAGTCGGACGCGAGAGGTCGCCGTCGCCGATCACATCCCTGAGGACACGGCAGTGCTCAGCCCATGCAAGGCACACCTCCACCGTATGCTCCACGGTGTTCTCCGGGCGGCGCTCGCATTGATTTATCCCAAATATCTCGCTACACAGAAAATAAATGGAGAGCGCTATAAAATAACTAACTTTCAAAGAGGGCATTAGACGAAATCAGTTTGGGACCCTCTGGTTTACAGTATTTACAGATGAATACTGTCAGTAAATTACACGGGTGGTGGAACAATCAGAACAATTAGTGGATCCTTCCACATGGGTGTCATCATTTGTACCCTCAGAATTTGCTTAGTAGACTATTTGGATTTGCCATCGCCTACAACGAGATTCGGTCTTAAAACCGTTGAATATCTACGAGATCAACATAAAAGAAGCCTAAAAGAGATTTAAAGTCAAATATTCGACAAGAATTTATAAGCACACTTACGAGTCTGTTGGCAATGGCTAGCCGATGAAAAGGTACCTTGCAAACCTTGAATTACCTAGTCTATCACTAAGATGACGATAAAAGAAGATTTAGTTAGCTATAGGATTTTTATTATTTGGAACTTCATCGGGATCAGGTAGGTAAGGAAATGACTAACTATTAAGCGAATATTTTATTCCGTAACAACTGCACAGCCACACATCAGCATCAAATGTTCTTGTTATGCTCAAATGACGGTGCGACTTGACTGTCGTGCAGGAGTTTGTACGATCCAATATTCGGCTCTCCACCTGTAATAAATGGTTATTATAAATATGGATTTATTATGCAGATTATGCTTCTGCCATACCTTCTGGATATAGGTAGTCCTCATCACCATAGAGTAATGGTTTTAACTTTATTTATTATGGGAAACAAAAAAGACAAATATAAAGGTAAGTAAGTAATTACCTGCACCCTCAGCTTGTATGTGAGAGTTGCCAATAATGATATCCTCTGGACTTCCATCACGGGTTTCAGTTCTAAAGTTAGACGGTTGTACCTGACGGGTACACAAAATTAATTAGCAAACATAATAATTAGAGGTAGATAGGTACCAGCTAGATCTAATATAATATTGGCAGGTAAACCTTAGGGGTCATGAGCGCATAGAGTGGGGAATCTAGGCGCCCACTTAATGACCTCATGGAACACGGCGGCACAGTGGTCACATGCCACCGTGCACTGCACAGAGAAGCTCTAGGTCGACCCATAGGTCTTCTAGGGAGGTGCCGTAACAGGCGTTACACCGTGGGGCACCGGGGCTGGTCTACTAAGAGGACCCGGTGCCTCCTTCAGGTGCAGATGGTGGCCAACGGGAAGGTTTTAGTGAGGTAAAAATCCCACACCCCTTGTCTTTTCCCCATAAACCTAGCGAAGGTTTCCCCCGTCATCAAAAAAGGTACTAGGTAGATTCTTGTTTAAGGCACAATGTTCGTGGTTTACGAGTTTGCATACCTGGGCATCATTCCTCATCAGATCAGGGAACACAGAACCAGGGAATCTGTTATAAATACCATTGAGATTGTAGTGTAGGTTCATATCTGGACCAATATTTGCCTTGAGTAATTGTTCCCAAATTCCACCTAAAAAGGAGACACGCAATTAAATATCTGGCTGTATTTAAAGTAAGAATGTATTGTACTTACTAGTAATCGTTACCTTTATCGATGGACATGATAGGTCTGTTCGATTGCCATGGGTACTCGCCATGAGCTTGGAAGTAAATTGCGTATGTCGAGAGCTGTAATTATATCATTCATGAACACAGGCAAAAATTATATCTACAGCTCTACAGCTAGCATTAACTAACATTGCCATTCCAATGAGAGAGCAAGAGCAATATATTTATATATTATAGAAATATATTTTTGATATAAAATGTTCATGAAATAATTTTACCTGCGTGTAATAAAGAGCTAACCAATATTTTCCTCCGTGTCCTACGAAAGCAGTCTCGTTAGCATCCATCAAACCATTTGGAAGTTCTTGGTGTAACATCTCTTGAGAAATCTGGAGGTTGCATCCGTACCTAAAAGAATCGTAAGAGTGAAGCATAGGCGTAGCCAGCCTAAGGGCTCAGGTTGGGGCAATCTATAGGTAGGCTAAATTTAGTAAAATTAGTAACAGCTTCGTAGAAACTGTTCCAGCGATCGCGTCGTCATTTTTTAAGACCTCGACGAAAAGACAAGCCGCTAAAGCTTACCGATCACACCCTCAAACTCCTGACGCTCAGGTGCATATAGGTATAGGCAACTCATCATCACACTAGCGTTATCCGGTTGCTTCCTTTCAGGGCCCGGGATCCACTTTTACTGTTTCTAGTGTTGGCTAAATAGCCGGCAGCTTTGAGAACGCGACGCGCCGTCCGCTCGTGTCTGGGTCTGGTCGGGCGGCGAGTCACTCATAGTCACGCCCGGAATGTCCTTCGTGATGCGAGGATAATGCGAGGAAGCAGCGCTTTGCTGCCCCACGCGTCCCGCCTCTTTAGCTAGCATCACTGCTTCGCAGAAGAATATTCCTCTTCAATAAGCGAAAGAGATGGCATATCCCCGAAGCTGGTTACCGCTGCTTTAGAAGACGCCTTCAAGCTCATAGATCAGAAAGGATCTAGCAGTAATGTTCGGAAAACTACGCAACATCTTCTCGTCCAACCATACCTCTGTAACTACTTCAAGACAAAAGTCTACTACAATCAGTATGTTACCAGTACCAGTGATGACTTATGGAACATACACGTGCCCTTACTATGGGCCTCAAAAGAAAATTCAAGGTCACTCAGCTAAGAGCTAGGGAAAGAGCTATACTCGCTGTTTTCGTGCAAGAGAGAATCAGAAATGAGGAAATCCGCAAATGAACGAAAATCGCTTCCGCAAATGAAGTGGCACTTGGCGGGGTACATAGCACGTAGAATAGTCGGCCAATGGGGCAGAATGAAGACCACGTACTGGCAAGCATACCGCAAGATGTCTAACCTCTAGATAGACAGACAACCTAAATTAAAATCGCAGGACGCCGCTGGACCGCGATCTCATGGCGGAATGGCAGCATCGACAGTCGTAACCGAGGGCTGGGCTTGCTGTCATTGCAGCGGTAAAATCCCCTCTTTGAGGAGTGGCTTGAGAGACACTACGGCGTCCTCACCTACCGCCTGACGCAGGTGTGTACCGGACACAGAAGTTTCAGTAGGTTCTTGTTTCGCATTGGGCGGGAGGAAACGGCTGGGTCTCATCACTGCGAGACCGCCCGGACGACACGGTAGAGCAAACGGTGGCGGTGTGCCCTCCGTGGGCTGAGCCCCGCCGTCTCCTCAGGGATGTGACCGGCAACGGCGACGTCTCGCATCCGGCTCTGGTTCAGACCACGGTACGGAGCGAGGGGGACTGGGATGTCGTCTCCTCCTTCTATGAAGCAGTCATGCTAGTTAAGGAGGGAGCAGAACGCGTGGGAGAACGAACTTCCTCATGCTCCAGCCGTCGCGAAAGTAGTGCCGAGGCTCCGGCTCGAAGTGAAACGGGGAGGTTTTTAGTCAGTAAGAGTTACACTCCCTCTCGCCTCACCCGGGCGGGAGAAGCCATTGCATGCCCACTCAAAAAAAGGACGCCGCTGGATGCAGGTCAAGCAGGACGCTTCTGACTGACCTATAAGGAAAGTTATTGGGGAAGTTTATATTCTGCAGCAGACGTCTTGTGGCTGATACAAGGGCGATGATGAATCATAAAATGTATTATGGCTATATTAGCCTAGCTGATAGGCTATCTATACTAGTA